CCTTCTACCAACCACTACTCGATAAATATTCTGGCATTTACCAATCGCAACCGAAATTGCCGTGTGTAACCAGCAATGTTACACATCACATCACGACTACAGGACCACCTGTATTCTCGAAAGCACGCCGACTGGCGTATAACCAAATCCCTATGGCCACTGAAGAGATTCCAAAAACCGCTATTATAACGCCCTTCGGACTCTATGAATTTTCGCGAATGCCTTTCGGTCTAAGAAACGCGGCACAGACTTTCCAAAGGTTCATAGATGACGTTTTTCGAGGTCTCAACTTCGTACATGCTTATGTTGATGACTGCCTAATTGCACGTCCAGACAGAGACTCACATCTCCAGCATCTGGACATTGTTTTCGACCGACTACAAAAACATTGCATTACTGTAAACATTCAGAAATGCCAAATCGGAACCGAATCCTTAGACTTCTCAGGACACACTATAGATGCGCAAGGCATTCGACCCCTTAGAACAAAAGTGGCGGCCATTCTGGATTACCCAGAACCGACCACCATCACGCAATTTCGCACGTTTAATGGTCTGGTAAGTTTTTATAGACGATTCATACCGAAATGCGCCTTACTTATAAAACCCCTTACCAACCAACTTCGTGGAAATGCGAAATCCATCAATCTGGATGACACCGCGCGAAAAGCATTCTCCAGGTTAAGGAACGTATCGCTCAAGCAACAATGCTAGCTCATCGGGACCCTGAAGCGCCCATTAGCATCGCAGTAAACGCATCCGACTCAGCAATCGGAGTAGTCTTACAACAATGTGTTAACCACTCCTGGCAACCTTTGGCTTTTTTCTCTAGACGGTTACTAGACACTGAATCGAGGTACAGCACATTCGATAAGGAACTCCTAGCTGTGTATTGTGCTGTTCGGCATTTTCAACACTCTATCGAAGACCGTGAATTTACCATTTTTACCGACCATAAACTACTTACTTTCTCCTCTTCTTCGGACAAGTACTCACCACGTGAGTCTCGACAAGTGGACTACATTTCGCAGTTTACTTCAGATATTCGACACATTTCTGGAACAAACAATGTAGTTGCAGACGCCTTGTCTCGTATAAATTTCTGGAACAGTTCCCAAGGAATCGACCTTTTAAAACTCGCCCAACTTCAAAAAGAAGACACTGATCTTCAGCACGAGTATTCCTCAACAACACTTAAACTGTGAATTAAACAGATGTGAACGGGTAAGGAAACCTTACTTTGTGACACATCTACAGGTAGGGATCGCCCAATCGTGCCAAAATAATATCAACTCAACGTCTTCAATACGTTGCACAAACTTTCTCATCCAGGTGTTCGTGCAACCATCAAGCTTATAGCAGAACGGTTTTGCTGGCCTGGTATGAACAAAGACGTGAGGGAGTGGGCACGCTCCTGTGTAAGCTGCCTGAAATCTAAGGTTATTAGACATAACAAATGTCGGCGAGACTCTAATTTAGGGACGAGCCAATCAGAAGCGTTTAAGCCGTTTGAATGTCACGGAGCCAAGTTTAACGCATGATGCTGACATACGATCGGTTTACGGCGGATTTTAGAGATGAGCTTATTATTGAAAGGCTACAAGAGATGGGACTACTACGAAGTTCTTGTATGTGTGACTGCGGTTCTGAAATGACTACAATGAAGTCTGAAGACCACCACGGCGAGATTATGTTCCGTTGTCCTTCATGTTGGAGGAAAAAGTCCGCTAGAACAGGGACTTTCTTTGCTCGATCGCGACTGAGATTGAGACAAATCATGATAATAGTTGCTAATTGGGTTATAAAGACACAAGTGACACTGGCTGCGGCTTTCGCAGATGTTACCGAAACCTCAGCAGTCCAGTGGTATGAATACTGCCGTGATATATGCGCAGCTAAAATGACTAGCAGACACCAATTATTTAGAGGAGTAGGACTTATCGTAGAGATAGATGAAACGGTTGTGAGAAAGAGAAAATATAACAGGGGACGTAGTGTGAAAGAAGATTGGTTAAGTAGCATTTTCGTAAATATGCTTAACAGGTACTGGGTATTTATGATAGATCAAGTCGTAAGGGACATTTCCAGAAAGTCACAAACCGTTAAGCAAGAACAATAATACCAATCATACAGGAATATGTGCTGCCTGGTACCACGATATATACGGATGACTGGAGAGCATATAGATGTCTTCATCGACTTGGATACGACCACCACGTAGTAGTCCACAAACGTAATTTCGTTGACCCAACAACCGGTGTTCATACGAACAACATTGAAGCCATGTGGTCACGATTAAAGGAATTTTTAAGACCATATCACGGCTTCAGAGGTCGACTAATATGGAGCTATATGGATGAGTTTTTATACCGTATCCACTATGATTTTAAAACATCTGAACCTTTATCAAATCTTAACAAGTTTTTAAATCATATAAAAGAAGTATATCCACTGTAATTCTTTAGTTTCTTCTAATATATTTTTACTTTATACTAACTGTCTTCTGATTGGCTAATATTCTCAAGGTCACTTAAGATTCGTTCAAAGGTCGTCCCTAAATTAGAGTCTCGCCCAAATGTCTCCTAGGCTCGTTTAACACTCCCGATGCTCGCTTCGACCATGTTCATTTGGATTTGGTAGGAATTTTACCAGACTCAAATGGATATTCTTGTCTTTTAACATGCGTAGACCGTTTTACTCGATGGTCAGAAACAGTGCTTATCAAGGACATTATTTCTGAAACAGTGGCTCACGCCTCCGTCGAACGATGTGTAGCAAGCTTCGGCTGATCTTCAACCATGGCTACAGATCGTGGACGTCAGTTTGAATCTGAACTGTTCCGTTGTCTGACCATGAAACTGGGAATCACTCGCTTCCGAACGACGGACTACCACCCACAAGCAAACGGATTAGTAGAACGTTTTCACCGACAACTTAAAGCGTCACTATCAGGCTCAAACATTTCTCAGTGCACTGACGCACTTCCACTCGTCTTACTAGGTATTCGCAATACGGTGAAAGCTGACATTGGATACACTGCGTCTCAACTCGTTTATAGTACAACCCTTCGACTTCCAGGAGAATTCCTGGATCATTCATCCTCTTCGATGGACATGGATATAGCCTCCTACGCGAACAGGCTTACAAACGCAATGCGTTCGGTTAAACCTGTTTCCACTCGACCGAAATCTACTGATGCTTTCGTTCAACCTGACTTACGACATAGTACACACGTCTTCGTACGTCGAGACTCGCATCGACAACCTCCCGAATCAACATATGAAGGACCTTTCGAAGTTCCTCAACGCGAATCTAAGTACTATATAATCGATAAGAACGGGACCAACGAAAGCATCAGCATTTATCACTTCAAAGCAGCGTATTTAGAAGGAAATCCTATTCATGTCAATTTTCCTTCAATACAATCGCACAACACAACTCCTACCCTTATAAAACCTCAATCGACAGCCGACACACACGTTGATACTTCGACAGCATCTGAAAATAAACTCAAAACTACGCGTTCTGGAAGAAGTTTAAGATTTCCAGAACGTTTGAACGATTATTGCACGTAAGACACAAGTTTACATTTTATATCCTCTCGATTTTCTCTTGCACTATAGATAATTTTTTTTAAAAACCCGAATTTAATATGCTTATATATATTTATCATTTTATTATTTCAAAAAAGAAAAACAACAAAAAAAAACGATATTATAAAAATTCTTTTTTTCGCCCGTTTTGTGTTTTCACGCGCGTACGAGTGTATTCCGACATGCAATTACATATATTACTTTTCCTTTCCAGGACGGCTGGAAAATACGATAAAAAGAACGATGAAGTTGCGAGAAACGAAAATCTTCATTGTACCTTTTTTTTACCATATTGTACATCATGGTCCCTTATAGTAGGGAAAGACGACCAGACGCTGTTAAACATAGCAAGCTATCAGAAGAGTGTTTACCAACGAAAACTCATTGGGTTTAAACTTCTGGCTGGCCACGTCTTAGGGTCATCACTACCCCACTAGGAGGGGAGTGATCTGTAGCGGTAAATAATTCCCCAAAATTAAATAGCTCTGTAAGTTTTCGACATTGGATGCTGACCACAGTTTTAGTGGACTCATCTAGCTGAAGGCGCTCGGTCAAGCATCCGCACCAGATCACGTGTGGGAACTCCGTGCTCAACATCTGCCGCAATCGCTAGCCAGATTAGTTCAAACAATCCTCGATATATTGATAGCTTATCAAATATATCTTCGATTTCCTCACTTCTATCTTTTGATTTTACTTGGTGGGTACGTTTCATATTAGGCGTTGCTGGTTAAAGCGTTGTCAAACCCCGAATACCTGTGGCATCTTCTAATCTATCTATCGAACAATTATGACGTTAACCATACTTCAGAGACAGAAATAATATCCTGTTTTTCTTTATCCACCATTGTTTTTTGCTCCACCATTTTATTTATTACGCTGCGAGCATCTGCGTTGTACACCTTTATTTCTGCGAAGAACTTTCTTTTACATCCCGAGAAGTTTGGGGATGATAAATTTACTTTAGAAATAAAAACCGTGTTCTTGCAGATTGCTTTAAGTGCAATAAATTCAATTAAAGTGAAGATAGTTGTCCTTGTTATAAAATATACTCAGAGGAATAATACCACCGTCCTTTTTAAATCGCGCGCTTGAGTCGTCGAAGTTGATGAGTCCTCAAAAGCTTAATGACTTTTCACCGACACGATAACTCATCATAGGCAGAAAAATGAAATAACCCTAGCATATTTAACAGGAATAACCTCTTGAATAACACGCAGTATCGTACAACGCGAACGATAATAATTTCCTCTATAACTACTATCAATGTGTAGTTATAACAACTTACGTTCACCTCAAATTTATCTTCCGATATTTAAAATGATTTGAGGTGAAATATCTTCAGATGGCAACCTTCACTTGCAAACAAGACTTTATGTTTTGTTTGAATCGTTCAGTTCACTGAACTTAAGCTCTCTGTTAAAAAGCTACCAATATTGAAGTTACAAGGATCTTTCGTACAACAGTGGCATTGGTATAAAAAAACAGTGATATCAACCGAAACCATAAATGTAGCTGAACATGCAACTCTCCGTCTGTAATGGGAATGAAAAGACAGCTGCATGGAGTGAAAATAATGGATTACAACCAGTAGTAAACATGGAATCGAATGAAATAAAAAATTTAAAATTTGAAGATTTAAAGTATTTCGTAATCCAAGGAAGAGGTAATTGTTTCATTATTCTAAGCTTGCCGGTTGTAAAGCCGGAAAAAAGTTCATTCTCAAAGGAATATCTGGAGAATTCAAATCTGGGGAACTTAGTGCGATTATGGGACCTAGTGGGGCTGGCAAGAGTTCTCTCATGAACATTCTAGCAGGGTACTGCACACAAAATGTTATTGGTGATGTTATCATTGGCTCTTCACTAAGGAACCTGCAACAATTCAGGAAAATGTCATGTTACATAATGCAAGATGATTTGTTACTACCTCATCTATCTGTTGATGAGGCAATGATGTGTAGTGCCAACCTGAAATTAAGTGAAAAAACCAACTACGCATCCAAAAGGAAAATAGTAAGTCTTTTTGCTGATATTCAGTGTGTTATTAGTTAATTTAGTCAAAGTGTTAAGCACGGAGCTAAACATATTTTAGCAAACCTAATTTACTGACATTAACTTATAAGTTAATGTCTATGGGTTGATCAATGGGTGATCTCTCTGTATAAGACTTATACCGGATGACCTCTTATTTTTGTGAATATCATAAACTGGTCTTTTATTCTTGATCAAAATTACTTGCTTTAACGTAGTATTATTTGTATGATACAAGATAATTAATAGAAATATCAGCATTTATAATTGTCTACCATAATCACTACGTTTTATTAATTGGAGTCGTACGTTTACCTTTGAATTTTAAAGCTTGGCTTTGATTAATTTATTTCGATATCAATTGTTCGTGAAATCACTGAATGGGTCTCATACAGTTTAAAAAACTATAATATAAGTTTGGGTACAAATAAGACACGTATGTGGTTGTATAATAGTTTTCACAACTGATCGTATCATGAAAATCTGTTTTTTCTTGACTGCTAATCATCACACGTTTTTTCAATTTATTGCAACAGTCTTTTGTTCAGGCTTCAATTTACATTATATTTTGCTAGTAAATGTTAGACGTGAAGGTATAGATGTATCAATCATTTAAATAAGGACCGAAGGTCTCAGTACACTTCTGTTTGTTGAAAACCATCTTCTTTAAAGAGATCTTTAGCACACTGTCGTAAAATGAAAAATTGTTCTTATTGAGTGTCTATCAGCACTCTCAGTTGAGTTTTGCATTTCATGTAAATTACATTATTTGTACCAAGACATCAAATATCTTTTAGTGATGATCAATTCCATGTTGAGTCTTTATCCTCAATAACAGGGCGACCATTTTAGATTTTTATTAATAACAATAAAGTTTTATTTATATAAAATATTGTTTGTTATTAGAAGACTTTACTGCGTTTAGCTATGCTACAATGCAAAACATGTTAAATTGTTTCTACGCAGATCTTCTTTAAAATCTTGCAGTTAGTGTATGTACTAGTACCTTGATAAGATAACGTTTGTTCTGAGTTTTTGATAGTTTAGTGTACCTATATTTTCATGTGTTAAAGGTTAGCGCTTTTTTCCCCATTTTACGTATGTATTTAAAAAGCCGTCTGATTACCTAGCGTTTGAGTAGAAAATTATTACAAAAACTAGCTTCTATAGAATAATAACATTAAAACTTCTTGACGCTTTGCTTGAACGAAGTTATTTAGGCAATATATAAAATATTTTTACATTCAGTCTTATTAACAAAGCGGTGTAATGTCCGTCTGTGGTATAAATTTTGACCTAAATTGGGGCAGCTTTTTCATTCAAGCTAACAAATCTTTCTAGTATAATCAGTTTAAAGATTGTGGAGATTGTCAAGTTTTTGATTGAGATCATCAATTTCTAGTATAAGTTTTCACCTTGAATTTAATCTGTATACAGCTACTAACGAACTTTATAATGTGGTTCGAATTGAGTGTAGTCTAATAAAATGTTTGAAGTTCGTTGTCATCGTCAGAAACGACGTCAACATTATGCAAATTAAGAGAAATTTGAAGCAACTTTAGGGCAATAATTTAGTCAAGTTGTTATGTCTTAAACTTTAAAATCAATCAAGTGACCAACAGACTGCGTGTTTACAATGATTTACATTTACTCGACTTTTAATGTTGTTTATTCTCTCATGTGTGCTTATGTTACCTGACTAAAAACGTAACATGGTTTATGGGTGATAAATGCTGGCACTTTATGTCAGCCTGCTTGAGCACCTTGTGCAAAGAGGTAGATTTTCTCGAGAAACGTAGTCACATAGTCGACATAAGAATTATTCTGTCACAGCAGGTTTCGTGTGGAAGGGAGTCTATTAACATTAGCATGAGTAGTTAATTAAGTTATAGACTGGTTACTATACTGTGACGTGCTGCTTTTTCAGGGCTAAGTTTACCTGACTTGAAAACAACAAACAACTTTTGTTAGGAGTATATACAAACTCAACATCACCACTTTTGCTGGATGCCAAGTTTTATAGCCATTGAAATATTGACAAATGAATCATGGTAATAAGTTGCAGCATTTACTAAGATAATAAATCGTTCTTATATTGTTATTGAACTGATCATACAAATGACTTAAGTTACCGAAAAAATGTCCAAATAGTTCATATTCCTTGTGATGCTGTCTGATATGTTTGTTTGATTTTTATCAGGTTGATAATATTATAAGTCTTCTTGGTCTAAGAGAAGCCGTACATACTCGAACTTCACAACTGTCTGGTGGTCAGAAGAAACGACTGGCTATTGCTCAGGAATTAGTTAACAACCCCCCAATAATGTTTTTTGATGAGCCCACAAGGTAAGTTCACGCCTGACTGGCTAGCTTTATGTAATTTTTAAGCTTAATTTTTAGCTGTAAAACGTTGAAATGAATGTTACTATAGATGAGTAAAAACTGCTACATTAAGCCTAGGGTACGAGCTAAAGATGATAAACTCTTTAATGTGAAGTTGTTAAGAACGTATGAAGGTGATTTATATACCGTTATTTGTTCATTTTTCGTGAGAATATTATTTACTGGTTTTCAACTGTTAGATATTTCTGATGAAACATACATTAAACCAATTGCTATTGTAATATAAATACCTAATTAATCAGTCTGATTTCTATTTTTCTCCATGTTTTAAGCCTAAACACAAACGCATTGAGCTTTTAGTTAACAGAAGTGATACGTTTTCCTCCATTTAGCAAACAGTACTCTTTTGACAATAAAATCCTTTTAGGATTGGGTTAGGATCTTCGAATTTTTCTGGATACCGATAATACCTGCGTGTAAACTATTCGAATTTGAAGAAAAAATAGTGCAAAATCATTACATTTGAACTTCAAAAACGTTGTAAAATGTTTGAACTGAGAATGCGACTAGAATAAGAAAACCCACTCAAGTCACTTACTTACTGACTTACATACTTACTAACGCTTCTTATCTCTCGTAGAGAAGCATAGGCCGTCCACCAGCATTCTCTTTCCAAATCAGTTCAGGGAAATCCTTCCCATCAAGTACTAGTTGCTGCTCATTCTTATGGTTTCTTTCTTCTAGCTGCAAAATTACGAAGTATCTGAGAAGATAGTCAACATCATACGGAATTCATATGACGGACCACACTGAAAAGTGGTGCATGGAGGACAGCTGACAGACGTATTCCAAGTAAAGACCGGAGTCAGACAAGGATGCTTACTCTCCCCTTTTCTCTTTCTTTGGTGGTCAAATGGATTATGAAGACCTCGACATCTGTGGGAAGCACGGAATACAATGGACAGCTCGAAATCAATTAAAAGATTTGGACTTTGCAGATGACCTAGCCCTTCTATCCTCTACACATGAACAAATGCCGGCCAAGACAACCAGCGTTGCAGCAGCCTCTGCATCAGTAGGACTCAACATACACAACGGAAGAAGCAAGACCCTCAAATACAACACCAAGCCAATCACACTTAATGGACAAGAGGTGGAATATTTCACATAAGATCAGTGACAGCCTACTGTGAGAGATAACAAACTAGCTTCTAAGAGAAGAGCAAATCAGGAAAAGGCTTTGAAAGTGAATAGAACATACATTACGGAGACCATCGAGCTGAATCACGAAGCATGCCCTAACTTGGAATCCTGAAGGGGATAGGAACATACTGGGTCAAGAGCTGGAACTTACTTACTTACGCCCGTTACCTCTCGTCGAGGTGCATAGGCCACCAATCAGCAGTCTCCATCCAACCCCGTCATGGGCGATCCTTTCCAGTTATTTCCAGTTGCTGTGCATCCTTTTCATGTTTGCTTCCAATTCCCGACGCAGTGTCTTCTTCGGCCCTTCTCTTTTCCGTTTCCTTTCACAATTCCTGATGCAGTTTGGCGATTTCCGTAATGTATGTCTTATTCACTTTCAACATTTTGTCCTGATTTCCCCCTCAATTGGAAGCTGGTTTGTTCTTTCCCATAGTAGGCTGCTGCTGATGGTATCCTGCCAACAGATAGTCAGTACCTTGCGTCGTCAACTATTTATAAATGCTTTTACCTTCTTGATGGTGGTTGTAGTAGTTCTCTAAGTTTCAGCTCCATACAGTAGGACTGGCTCGACGTTCGTACTAAAAATTGCAACTTTGATATTGACTTGCAGTCAGTTGTTTTGAGTTCTATATGTTCTTCAATCGTAGAAATGCTGCCCATACTTTGCCGATTCTCGCCTGTACGTCATCATCCCAACCTCCTTGTTAATCGATGATACTTCCCAGGTACGTGAACTATTCCACCTCTTGTCCATTAAGTGTGATTGGCTTGGTGTTGTATTTGAGGGTCTTGCTTCTTCCGTTGTGTATGTTGAGTCCTACTGATGCAGAGGCTGCTGCAACGCTGGTTGTCTTGGCCGGCATTTGTTCATGTGTAGAGGATAGAAGGGCTAGGTCATCTGCAAAGTCCAAATCTTTTAATTGATTTCGAGCTGTCCATTGTATTCCGTGCTTCCCACAGATGTCGAGGTCTTCATAATCCATTTGACCACCAAAGAAAGAGAAAAGGGGAGAGTAAGCATCCTTGTCTGACTCCGGTCTTTACTTGGAATACGTCTGTCAGCTGTCCTCCATGCACCACTTTTCAGTGTGGTCCGTCATATGAATTCCGTATGATGTTGACGGCTTTCTAATTTACGCTGTCGTGGCGAAGATATTTTCGTAATGCTCTCCTACATATACTGTCAAACGCTATCTCATAGTCAAGGAAGTCGATGTACAGTGACGAGTTCCACTCAAGTGATTGTTTAATGATGATCCGTAATTCCACGATTTGGCCTGTTCACTACCGATCTTTACGGAATGTAGTCTGTTGATCTCAAAGATGGATGTCTCATTAAAGTCATTAATATTTCAATAAGTTTCAGTCGAACGGGATCAATTTAAACAAAGCTGCTACGTATTGCTATTTAAATGTGTCAATCCCGAATAGTAACTTGAATTTTTCCTGGCAAATAAAAGTCAAAAAATGCTCGTTTAATTTGTATCATTAAGGAATCTTAAGTAACATTTAAATTTATTGTTTTAAAAACCTAAGTGATGTACAAATATTTCCACGATGAAGTGATAACGGTTATGGAATTGCACGATGACAAAAACCTTCTTCTGAAAATGGCTTTACTTACGGATCTACAGTATGATCTAGAAAAATAAAATCAGTGAACAGCGTACATATGAATGAATCTTATGTACTAGTGGTTCTGTATCTATATAAAAAGCTGTCAATAAAAGATTTTCAGGAAACACTTTCATTTTCACAAAGACCGGACTTTGAAATAGGAGTTTTTCTATTTCCTATACTTAAGTATTCTACAGCACGTTTAACGGCGATTCAGTCAGTAATAAATCGTCTCTAACATTTAAAAGAATAATCTATTAGGTTTTCATGAGTTTTGCCTTTAACCAATATTCGTTGGTTATCTAATAAAACTTATGTATTCGTTGTTTCATTTTACTTATGATTAGATAAAGGCTAGATCACGAAATCTTTAATGTTAATAAATGTACTTAATTTCAATGATTTATTTACATAAATATATATTCCCGAATTGATGTTTTGCTATTTCTTAGCAGTTTTGGGTTAGTTCACAAGGTGTAAATGTTAGTCCCTGAAATACGGAAATATAAAAATGTCGAAAATATTAACACCCAAACAGGTATGGCTAAAAATGGGAATTCCAACACTAATAATTTGTGTTGATCCGTGTTCACATACCTTCTACTGGTATGTGAATAAAGTGAAAATAAATATAAACAAAAACGATGTTGAAATTGAATAAATAACAATTGCCCAAGGGGCAGTAGAATATACGTGACTTAAGAAAATAAAACAATTTTGTTCATTATTTAATATAAATTTTTTACGTTTTTATTTAAATAACCGTGAAGACCAAATATTGTCTTTTAATAAACATTTCCAGTGGCATTTTGTTATGACACAGTTTTAACTTTTTAGTTCTACAGTTCAAGCATAGTTCAAATCATATGATAGTTCAGAGGTTTCATATCAAGGCAAAACAAGAGAAAACTGTCACATAATTTCCGGTAGTTTTTAGAGTAATGGTGACAACAAAATTTACATTAATCAACTAAATTATCAACGAACTAAATACGAGAGTTACCAGAGTCTAAAAGTGGCATATGAAGATATTTAGGGAGAGAATATTTTATCATGCAAACATTATTGGAGTTCTTTGAGGAATCTATTAACTTAATCCAACTCTAATGACTTATCGATCTAAAGTATCTTTGTAGTATTTGAACCCTTTCACACTATTATCGCTACCTTTGTTAGATAGTGCTTAATAAAGAGACAACCAAAGGATAGAAAATTGTATTTGGCTATGCAAGCAATTTAGAAAGCGGAAAACCAGCAGATGCCCAAGCAATTGTAATTCATGCAAGCTACCTAAAACGTAAATTGCTTAAGAGTTGTGTTAAATATTCGAATGTGTATAAAATATATCAACCACAAGAAATGTTGATTAGATAGAATGCCATGGTTGATTAAGTGAAGTAAAAATGTATTTTGAACATGTAGGCTTATTATCAAAACAATGCTAATTTAAAATAATGATCAATTAAAATATTGTGAAAGCAATAGTTTTAAGTCCACATTTTAAAGTAGAGTTATTTCTTGCCGTTACTGTATCGTTCTAGCTTTAGCATGATAGTTCAGCCAAGAATATGTTTTATTTACTATGAGGAAATTTTCTACTTTAGTAAAACAGATACTTAAGGTAATTTTATGTCAAGAGTTGGATAATTAAAACTATGTTATATCTTAGATTTCTGAAATTTACAATACAATTAGATATTTTCACATAATCTCATCATTGTAATTACTCAAAATGTAACTAGTTTAATTACTTCAATTACAATAGAATATATTGATCAGTTTAAAATTATGTTAAGTAAAGTTTGGGTTGAAATATACATGGATAATAATAATTGTCTTCAGGAATTTACGAAGATATAATTCAAATGGTAAGTGATAGCTATCACTGACTTCATAGCTTAAACAGTCAAATAAATTCCTTTGGGATTATTAACAGACATCTTTGTATCAGTTTTAGATAGATTCAAATTGTTAAGTAATAGAGTAGTTCCTCTCACTAGGTTACGATTTTCGAGGAAATAAATAAATATATCTCTCAAAAACTTACAATGACGAAATGTATAAAATAGTCATAAGTCTAGTGGGAACTAGATTGTAAACAATGTCACACATTATTTAGATCTCAGTAACCTACTTTTAACTGCTTTCAAGATAAATAATTATTACCATGCTTTTGATTTGTCTTTTCAACAGATAAAAATGAAATAAAATTGCCTTATCGACTTTCACTATTTTATCTGAATAGCGTATCCAGTGTTTCACTGGTTAGTAATTCTGTTTTAAGTAGTCGAAAATCAGTACATGCTTTGTTAAGAATAGAAATAATGTTCCTTCTTTTCCAGTATGAGGTTGTTTGTCACAATAGATAAGTTAAAATTCATGGGAGACCTCTGACACTGTCAAAATTAAAACTGTTAACAGAATTCACACAATTTAAAGAAATGGTTGATTTTTTAAGCATATTTTGAATTATGATGACTTTTCTGTTTACCAACAAAATTTCTACTTATCTTAGTTTCTCCCAAGTAAATACTCTTTGATGATGTTCAGAGATGTAATGAAGTTCTCAAGAGTTTTTCATAATTAATCACATAATTATGTTATTTCAGAGCATTTTGATTTACAACATATCGCATTACTGTTAGATTATCAGTTACTCATCATAACTTTACTTGACCAATTCTGAAATAAATTGGTTCTATCCCTCTTTCTTAGATCAATCAAAAGTGGACATTTCCTCACTTGTTCAGACCAAAGTTAGCAAGTTTAAAATATTGTTTCATTTGACAAATCGTTGCTTTATTCAATCAGTCTGTTGTAGGAGTTTGCACTAACATTGAGTGGAACTAAAAAACTATTTTATATGACCCTACCTAGTCCTCATATTTTCCTATTTAAACGTGTGAGCATTTTCGGATCGACTTTGTTCACCCCATCCTACGTAACTTAGTTAACAGTTATATTCCCAAAAGTCTAAGGTTTAGTCAATCTTCCATACTCGTTTTATGTGTTCCATTTTTATTTCATTACTTAAGTTATTGCAATTCAGTTCGTTTAGTTATAAGTCTTAGCTCTTTAGAAAACCCCTTTCATCATAAGCAGCCCTTAAGAAAACATATTACGCTGTTTAAATGTTGTGAACAAAAAGACTAAGCCCATTATTACGGATAGGCCTTGATATTGTACGAGTGATTACGTCACATCCACTTGCATTTACCAATTTATATATTGTTTGGACACACTACATAGGGAGCAGCAATCAAACGATGAAATCATGAATTATGAAACATGTGCCGAGATGACTTCAAAATCAGTTAGTGTCAAGTGTTCCAATAAATGTGGGAAGTAGAAAACCATGTTCATCGGTAAGAGAGCATGTAATGGAAATAGAACATAGAATTAACATCAATACGGCTTCCAAAATGTTGTATTAAAATCATCAGGGATGAATTATTAGATTCATAGAAGCTTTGGCTATTCATAAATTCAAACCCCTCTTATGTGTGCAGAAACGTGTAGTTGCAACCTTGAATTTGGCCTACTAATCTTTAAGTCACTTTAAAAAGTAGGCTAATGCTACAATTTCCTAATCGTTCCGTACCATGTTAATTTTCTCTCCTTTATTTACAATTACTACTTTGTTTGCTTGGACTTTCATTTAATTAACCTTTATTGATTTTCATATAAAATGTATTGATATGTATATGTATGACCAGATTATTCAAAATGCTTGGCGCAAAATACATAACATTTTTCAGATCTACTCCGTCTTCGCATTGTTCTATGGTATTCTTATTACATGTACATCAATGTATACCACGTATATCATTAATTTACTGTTTGCTAAATGAATTGTTCTTATGTTATTTAATTATTTTGAAGATTTTCTATACAAATAGCGTTTGTTTTATTACACCAATACATATCCACACTATTAGTTAGTAGAAGACTGGTGGTTCTGTCTCTAAAATGACTGTTCGGTCGTAATTTGGTACTCATTGGATATGTAGAATTATTAGCCTAATCATCTAAATCATCTCAGTGTTTTACTACATAACTGCAACATTTAATCTTATACTTAACAATATTTTGTAAGACACTGTTTCGTGCATAAAGTTTTTTTTGAGGTAAATAAATAAATTCAAAATAAGTAACTGTTTACTTATTTCAACAATGAGCTTGAGAAATTTTGTTGCAAATAAGCTGTTCTAAAAATGGTTGTACAGATGTGAAATTAGATATTCTTGAAAAAAATAATCCTAGTCTATATATATATATATATATATATATATATATATATATATATATATATGCATGTAACCTGTTGCCATGACTACAGAAATATATTATTAATAATTTCTTATCTACAGTGAATTATGGTAAAAAGTGTCATGTACTTTCAATGACGAGAATTGGTTTTCAATATTCTCCTATAAGATATTAAAGATCATGATGAGGATTAAAGCCAAATATGAATAATTGATAATTAAAAGTTTAATTTGTTTACTATTTAAGGGTCGTACACGAAAATGTAAGAAATGTGTAGTAAAATAATGATTGACATTAATTTGAAGCAGCAAATATTATCTGATAACTCTGAATGATTATTGTCAATCCTCAAACGAAACTTCAATAGGCTTTACACCTTAGATTATCAGACTGAGATTATTCAGTGCCAATTCAGAGTAAGTTGAGGTGGCTTAATTATCGTTTCTGTGACTTCGACAGAGTGCAGGGCATCTTCAGCTTTGTGAGAACATTTTAGGTTTTTGGATAATCGTTACGTTGAATTAGTAAATTTTAATAAACTCTTTCTACAGATCTAGAACTTTCTGTTAGAATCTATTCTGTTTTCTAAGCAATCTAACGATATTTAAATGAGTTTGCTGCTAGGAAATGTATTCTTTAGATGATCTCTCAGAGGTTTTATTGAGTTTTGACAGCTATTTGTTGAAAACAAATCCCATTACAAGGAAGCAATATGGGAAACTTGAAATTACTATTTTTTATCTAAAAGCTCTCAGTTTATTACATGACTATCCAACCCAAGGTATTCTGAACAGTTCACTGACCACATTTATGAATCTACTGAGGGACATTATTAAAAATCCTTAAAGAATAGATAAATAATCTTTGCAGATGGGTAATAATAGCATGTTGAGCAAGTAAGAAGCCCAAGTTAAACATTTTTATTACTTTATCACTTAACGGTCGACATTAAAGTCCTGTCGTAAATCATAGTAACTCCATTTTCTTTACAGGATAGATAGATACATATGGATACTTGAATATCGAACTCAATAATGGTTAAACGATAGAATACTAATATATGGTGAGCTTTTGTAGGTTTACGTCAGTGCGACTTTGTGAATGAGAACAGATTTATTTATGTAGTAATTTAAATCTTTCCAAATTTACTGACTTTGTTTATGATTGTGATTAATGCACTATTAATCAATGAATAATCAGATAAATGATTACTGTTGTGAAACAGAAATTTCATCTCATTCAAACGATCTCTGTTTCAGTGGTTTGGATAGTGCTTCATGTTTTCATTGCATCTCATTGTTACGTCGTTTGGCACGTGGTGGTCGAACAATAATTTGTACAATACACCAACCGAGTGCAAAAATATTCGAACTATTTGACCATGTGAGTTTAAAGTCTGTGATTAACCACAAATTTGCTTATTTTTAAAATATTAGAAATGTAGAATTATATTCTGAAGTTTGTTTTATTTTACTTCATAATATTGATCTTTCAATAGTACATTATATCATATGGACAACCATAGTCGTGAAGTAAATTTACTCCCAAAATAAAACTATGTAATAAACATTGCTCATTTAACAAAAGGTGAATATATTAACACGTTGCTAATACAAACAAGAACTGAATCCATCAATCATAATTTAAATCTCGCATTCATCTATACTCATATACAACATATGACAGAAGCACCTTCTTAGTGGTTGATATTCACTGGTAATATGATCATATTCACTTTTTCCTACGTAAATGTTTATTAATTCCTGAAATTTGTTTGTTTTTTCAAAGAGAAATTCCATGAGTTGAAATGCTCAGAAAAAACTTTTCCTATTTATTGGGCCGTATAAATTTATCATTTTTAATATAAATAAATGACTCGATGTTTAATTTGTTAGAAGTGGTGGAATCAAATTGTTGTAGTTGTGGATTTGTGGAGATTGTAGTATTTTGACGGTTGAATTCATGAGTCACTAATGAGTTGACTGAAGTTAGATATTAACACTATTGGATGCCGGCTCAGTAGTCTAGAGGTTGAGCGTTCTCACTTAAGACCGAAGGTCCTGTGTTCAAGTATTGCGTGTGAAATCGTGAATGCGCACTGCTTAGGAGCCCTATACAAGACGGTCGTCCAGTGATTCTGTATTAATGTTTAGTGGGGCGTTTTCTATCATCCAAAATAATTAATAACGGAATCTGGTCACGTCTTAGGATTTCCATTTGGTTATAATATAATTCAAAATTTATTAAAGATAACTCGAAAAATATGTCTCATGTTAACACATTCCTATGGAAATCCTAGTCATAGAGGTGTGAATTTCGAACTTTAAAATGTATGATTAAAACAGTTTAGTTTAAAATGTTCTGGTATTCATGATTCGGAATAACCCTTTTACCGTTTGTTATTGTTGAGAAATAATTTATAATCACATAATCTAAATAAATATATACTGATGTATCTCAGTGTTGTGAAAATGTTAGGGACTCAAAATATGGGTGAATAATTTCAGGAATCCACTCTCTGACCTACAGTTTCCCTGTCTTTTGAACAATCTATGACTTTCAAGTCATCGTGTTTAGCTCAAATTCTTAAAGGAAACACCGATTAACTTAAGATAGATAGAAAATAATGATCATAATAATATATCAGCCGTGAGTTGCAACAGAAATAATTGATTGATAACATTTGATAATGATAATATAAATGAATTTTTTTGGTATGACTCATGAGCTAAAATCTGTTCAGCTTTAATGGAAATGTTAGATTCTTATAATCTAGCTGAGTTGATCAACTGTAAAACAAGCCTAACTTGTTAAATGGTATTGCAAATACCTAAGAAAATCTTTGTCATCCATCTCAAAACTGTCGGCTGAATGTGTGATCATTTCCTGTGGTTTAATCTGGCAACTTTTATCAATATGATAGTGCTGCGAAGAATTTCTTCATTACTATAAATACTGTATGCTGTTTTAAGTTGTTAGTAACTTTCGAGTAGATGACTGCTTCCATCCAACATATACATTTTTCCTATATTCTTCTTAAGGTTTGAACTGATAAACTATTGAACTATTTACTCAGTGATGTTCTTACCGACTGGTACTTTGAACTTTGTTCACTGATCTAGTAGTGTATTTCATGTTGTTTCAAAAATTTATGTTTTTTACAAACTGTTATGAAAAATATTAATCTAATTACCATTTTGCAGGAAGTGGATGTTTAGATAATTATTTGATTTAAAATTGAAATGTTCTTGCTCCAATTACTAAATATAAGTGGTAGAAGCAATGATAATGTTGAATGTTTAATATATATTTAAAATCTTTTATTTGGTTTCCAGTTTTCAACCACAGTCCAATAAACGTTTACTTGATTCCCATAAAATAATCACTATGGATTCATAATTCCTGCTATTTTTTTCCTTGATTAGTGTCTGATTAAAATTAACTCCTACCACTCATTATTTTGATTACTGTCAAGTTTTCATTTGAATTCACTCTTATCCAAAACACCATTCGAAATCACTGTAGACTACAAATGAAGATGAAAGCTAACATGCATTCATATTGTTAAAAATAATTAAATTTTCGCATCTGTTTTCTTTTCAGTAGACATTTAAATATGTTACTACTACAATCTTTTGCACCTATAAATTCTAGAAGTTACCCTTAAGAGAATTCATAAAAACAACAAGAAAATCATGTTGATCAAAAGTCTGTCAATTGTCGTTGCAACGGAAATAGAGTAGAATGTAATTTTTAAAATTACCACTTCGTTGAAAAAGTGGACAATCTCTTTCTCGTAGTGAACTGGATTGTAATCACATGCAGTTTTGTTAAACTAACTCTGCATCCTATATGATATTGTTTATAATTATGTAACCGATATTCTGTTAATTAACGTGACATAATCAAAATGAGCTGAAATATTTGAATGACGAACAAAATGTTAATAAAAAAAATCTACTGTATTTGTCAACATCTTTATCAGTCACTGATGTTATTAGGTAGTCTTTATACGAAGATCATGTTATGAAGATTAAGGATTGCAGCGATAAGTAATACTACCTGAATATTAAAATTGGTTGTGATTAAGTAGTTCGTTGGTATTATTGAACATTGTTCTCTAAACAGGTATAGTTTGTCTTTGAAGAGTATACCTGGTCCCGAATAATCCCATGTTTACATAGATATGTATACGCAGGACTTTGTGAAATATTCCTTGCTACTTCATATTTAATCTCAGATTAGCTAAAATAATTTGTAGTTGCCTATTGTGACCCAGTCTCGTTGAGCTGGTAAACCTTATTTTAGTGGTAAATGGATTTTATAAATTTTTTATTTTATTCGTGGGGTTTTATTTCATTTTTAAATACACATTTCGGATAAGCGCTAACGCAGAAACAATAAAAAAACAGACTTAGTAATTACAAAATTCACTCAAAGCTATATATATATATATATATATATATATATATATATATATATATATATATATATATATATATAGTGACGAGATATCTAGGCATCCTTACTATCAAGTAAAAAACAACTTATCTAATAGTGAACAGATGTTAATTTATTTTGTCAATCAATACCTAATTCATTTGTAAATTATTGAAATTGACGTGATAAATAATTTTAACCGGATAATAAAGTTTGTAAAAATAGAAAAGTGTAAACACGAATAAAGATAAATCAGATATTAGCCATAAAATTAACTAAATTTATTTTTATCAGTTAACCTGAAGCAGAGACTGAAATTTTTCGAATTCACTAACATTAAATAGTCATTAAATGAAATAGAACATAAACTTAGTCAAAAGCAACACAGAACGTTGTAAGTGTGATAGTTCAATTCACCATACCAAATTCATGCAACACGATGGATTTATCTAAATTGATATCAAAGAATTAAAGGTAGTATCAGCGTAGTTTATGCTGCTTATGCTGACAGATATAATTAGTATGAAGCAGCAAGCAGAAGTGGAATGTCTGCCAGCAGAAGATTGAATTGGCGTAAATAAGAAGGGAAAAGGTGAGCAATTGAAATTACAACAGATTTTGAAGAATCATGAAGTATATAGGGGACAATTGATGGAATATTTGCAAATAATGTTTTTTACCGTATGATTTTTATATTTTACGAAAATTTCTGTGTAATTAAGGCATTAATCAGTAGGTTAGTTTACTACACCAGTATCGGTGTTAGCAAAGTCACGTTAGATATATAGAATGTGATTCAAGAAAAAATACGTAATTTGCTGATCTCGATAGTCGCGAAGGTACTTATAAGATAACCTGTACCTGTTAATATGAACCAGGTCAGTAGTCACTGATTTCATAGACTGGTATCACGTGTTGGTTGGACTGTCATTAGAGTCTTTCCAACCTAATCTTAATCCAGCCAACATTGTCAAGATTAGTGGACGATAGCTGGACAAAATTAATACATGTCTCAACTGGATCAGTTGATGAATATTTACAACCTTAATGACCGGATCTTCGTTTTTACCTAATACTCACCTAGTGGTCCGAATGCTTTGAGATACTTATGATCAAGTAACTGCAAACTTTCAATATCCTCTAATTCTCAAAGCGATGTTTCACAGAAACAGAAAATAAAGCTGCACCATATATTCATTCTTTGGTCGGTAGACGAACATCTCCCCAACGCCGATTGGCAAGACCCAACCAACTTTTGTGAATGCTTGCCAAGATTTCGTCAAGTAGTAACCCAACATGAGTGACTAGTGCTGTAAAATAGATAAAGTGGTTGGGGAGCTCAATCACCTATTTCCGTAATTTTAGTCCAAAGGTTGGCTGGAATCTGACTCGAATCCGCATTTTAAATTGAGACGGAGAAGAATTCAATCCCAAAGTCCTCGATTGTTGTTCATGGTGATCAGAGGATTTTAAATTTGTCAGTCATACGACATCACTTACATATTTTGAGCGGACAAAGAGATCCCCTGATAAGAGATCAATTCTCGGAAAGTTCCATTCCTCGTTTAGCTATTCCTTTCATTAACGGTTCATCAGTTTATAAGAAAAGCTATTTAATTTGTGATAAAAATGACTTAAAGCTTAGGTAGTCAGAGCGCTCAGTCATTCTGTTTACTGTGACAGCAATAGTTGGTGCAAAAATGAAAGTTTCACAAAAATATTTGACCAGGGCAACCAGCGAAATGAACTACCTGTACTACAACTCCTTGCGCATGCAAATGTTCTAATGTTCCAAAAACAAATGTTGCCCAAACTAAACAAGCCAAATTTATTGTTGTATAAATTCTCCAAGTCTTTCGATCTGAAACTTACCAATTTACTTGATCTCGCCATTATTGAAAAAACCCATGAACGGTCATACATCATACCATAATAGAATAATTGCAAAATGGATGATGTTGTGCAAATCGTTTCCGTAAATTTATTATATCAGATTAAGTACATCATCATGTTAACACCAGAGCACATTATATTTTAGAAAATCAAAACATAACTTACCAAGATTAATAATGGATTTTATTCACTTATTGACTATCTCGGTAAATTTTCTGTATTGACATTAATTAAAGTAACTATTTAAGCAATCGGGAAAATATTACAGTTACTTAAACCACAAAGCAAATATGGGTCTAAGCTATTTTGACGCTTAATTATATAACCAAAGTGAGAGGACATTACTGTTGAAGTTATCTGTCAGTTATTTAACTTTATTCTCCATTCTTATTTTCCTTCATTCAAAGAATATCAGCTATAAAATCATCCGCGTTTAGAAGACTTAGCATGATAGTCATAAATGTAATGAGTTAATGTAGTCTCTTCTATTGTATTCCAGCATCTAGTAGCGCTTAACAGCTTATCATCCATCAGATTTCCAAAATGTATCTCTGTGGAAAATCTGACCAACTCTTTAGTTGTTTTGAAACTAATCTCCTAAGACCCAACAAAATTTGCGATTTCGCCAAAAACTGTCAAAATTTTACACATCAACTGGCAATCAATACTCCATTGTGTTTTATTTCTTTATAAACATACAGTATTAACACCGACGAAAGTGATGCGAATTATCGAACAAAGTTTATTCATATTATGTCGTTTGACTTAGTGACTTGTACATCTTTAATACTATAATCGACACCGGAATTTACTCTGTTCCTTGTTATTTACTGGCGCATTCAATCTATAGTCAATTGGTAATTTACATTAAAACTCATTTTCATGTTCTATTTATTTCTTCAAAGCAATGTTACTTTTTATCGTAACAGTTTGTAGCTAACTAGTATATATATATATATATATATATATATATATATATATATATATATATATATATATATATATATATATATATATATATATATATATATATATATATATATATGAACCAATGATCTTTCATTTCCTGATGATTGGTACATTCAAGTAATTGGTTAGACTGATAGCAATAATAATAACAGCTTTGAAAAACGACAAGAAAACGGAAATAAATGCTGAATCAGAGATTTTTCCTCAAATATCCTATTACACGAAGGAGAAATCAATAGGCTTAATTGTCAACTAATCAATTATGAAAACATTCTATTTTAATTTTGTTAATATAATTCACTGATTTGTTTGGGTTTACAAATGAATCTGTATGGATGAATACGTTTAGCATTCCGTTACCTTTTTAATTGATCAGAAAAAACAATAGCAGAAATCACAAATTCTTTGGTAAATATTAATCAATGAATAAACAAAGGAAGCTTCAGAAGAATAGTGAAGGAAACATTGGAAAAGGAACACATGAACTAAAGTTACAGTTTTACATTCTTGTTCTTCGTATTTATGTTTAATGTTAACCCACTTCATCGATTTTGATCATTTTGGTGTTTCATTTAACCAATTGATTCACTTTCAGTGTTCAAGGAACTTCTTAAGATAAAACAGGGTCGCTAGATTCAAAAAATTCAATTATAATGAGTGTATTTCGTTTTATTTGTCTAACTTTCTAGTCTCTCTTAAGTATCTTTAGTAGTAACGTTTCGTATTTTGAAAATGAATGAGAATATTTATTTTCATAGTTTAAATTACAAATTGATCTTAACTAGACCACTACCCAAAAACTAGGAAGCACTTGATAGTTATTATGTCTTAGTATAGTACTCATCAGTATCTACAAAACCACTGGGGACCGAACCAAAGACCTTCAGGTTTCAACAAAGACTTAATGACGTCGTTTAGTTGTGTAGATTTGAAGCAAATCTAAGGGAAACGATGATAATAACAGGTCATCTGATAGCATTTACATGCTTTCAGTTAGTTCATTTATTAATTCATATATACTGCATTCTTTTCTTTGCAGTTATACTTCTTAACTGATGGTCATTGTATTTATAGAGGACCTGTTTCATGTTTAGTCCCTTACCTCGCATCACAAGATTTAATCTGCCCATCTTATCATAATCCTGCTGATTATTGTAAGTTGTTACTATTTTTCAATAATTAAATTCAAATCTCTCTGTTTGGCATACAGACTCAATAAAATTTAATAACATACAAATCAATCATACATGAATTACTCTTAAAGTAATGTAACTAGTCAGTTGTTTAATTTTGTGTGCAGATTAGACTGTATGATTGATCCACCGAACTATTTCAAGTAATTATGTACGAAAATGCTACTGGATATTGCTCAAAGCTAACAAACTTCGGAATATCTTATTACAATTAGTTACGATTGACTCTTTGGTTTATTAGCTTGAAAAAGTTTATGCTAATTGTTCTACTGTATCAATACTATTTACAAAAGACGTTTGAGAAAATAACGAATGCAATAAAATCAATGAATAAATTAATTTTGAAATAATTATATACGTATATTTGATGTGAAACGGTCGTATATATGAATGGACTTTGGAATGTTAATCACATTCAGATTGATGACACCTGATGTTAGATACACGTTAAGTGAATGAAAACGTAATCCGCGAAAATGAATAGTGTATTTGTAAAGAGACAGTCGCAAAAAATTGTTTTCCAATACAAATGTTTTACATTATTTTTTTATAACTTTATATTATATAAGAATGAAATCTATTCAAACAAAAATGTAGGTCGTTTATAATATGAGACATTCATTACCTGTTATCTGGTAATGTACTCTTAACTTCTAAACTTCCGTTATTTAACCTATTTTAATAAATATGATTTATTTTTTTGGACATAATGGCGAATAAAATCATGGGGAGGAAAAAGCAATGAAATGTTTCTATAATTAGATGCTATTTTATGGTGTTTAACTTCGGAATTTAGATCACATATTTTATGCTGGTCCGAACTCGTCTGATAAATTTAACCCAACAGGTTCAAGGTATCTTGTTCTGTCTGATAGTTAGGTTCAATCTAAATTGCTTGAAATGATAAAATTATTACAATTTACTCCCCTTATCTTTGCCATTATTATTATAGGTAAATTAATACGTATATTCATTGAATGGTAAATTCTAACTTGCTAGACCATATAAATGAGCAAAACATCGTTATCATATAAATAGTTAATTAATCTTTATTTGTTTGAGTTCATATGGTCACAAATGAATAACAGTTAATTCCACACTATCTATTCTTTATTAACATTACGTAACAGTTATGGAAGTGGCTTGTGGTGAATACGGTGATCATTACATGCGATTAGCAATGGCTGCACGTCGTGGAACACTAGATGAAATTGTAGATTATTTGAAAAAGAAGAAAGTATTTCTTAATAAAACAATAATTGAAACAAATGAATGTCCAATAGATAATATTCAAATAGTTTCTGAAACTATTCCTTTAAGTGATCATGGTTCATCTTCATCATCATCGCCATCATTTTGTTCACCTATTATTATACATGATGATAAGAAGAAAAAGGCTAAACAGCTTGTAAAAAGTGTAGGTTTACAGACAGAATATTATTTTATCTTTGTATTGTTTTTCTTTAATTGCAAGAAATGTATATTCAGAATGTAATTACGTTATTCTAGTATTCACTAAAAATCATTGCATTCGCAAGATTTATTGTTAAGTAGGTTAGCTTGATGGATAATTTAAATGTGTATTAGTACGAAGTCCTTAAATAAATTATTGGCTATAACGAAAAACATAAAGCACGTGATTGCGTTGCGTTAGCTAAATATTAATGTACTTAGTGGAAGATCTAAATAGTTTCAGGTTCTGTCGCATTCGACGTCGAATGGAAACACATCTGGCAACTCTCAATCGAAAATCAGATCGTTTTTCAGTTCTGTTCATTGTTTAACAGTTCTTCAGTAGATGTTAGCGCGTGGTGAAAAGATACATTTTTTGAATGAGCATTTAACCGAAATTTAGAAATTCATATTTTAACGCGTTATTTCACCCATAATATTTTGCTTTATAATTGTGAATTATAAATTTGATATAAATCTTATGAAAAATAATATTAAATTAACAAATTTATGACAGAGATTTTCAATCATTTATTATCATATTCCGAAACATGATTTATTAAAAGGTTATACCTCCGATTAGTAATTCTGTATATCTGTATAATTACAGTATTTCATTTTCATAAGAATGTCTATCATAGCAGATTCTTTTATTTTGACTTTATTCAGTTTACAGTTAATATGAGATTCAATCAGAATGGGTAGGAAAAAAATTACTATTAGTAGCATAAATGAATTTGTCTGGCAGTGAATTCCAGAACGCGTGTTCCTGGCCTATTTGAAACTAGTTAGTTGGATATATCTTCGTCCGTGTTGATGTTCACAACCTCAACCCTGATTGCCACTTCCTTGTGAAATGAGCATGAAATTTGTTTCACTAGCGGAAATGATTTGAGTTATTCCGGTATAAACATCAATACTGACATCTAATTACATCCGCCTGATTGATAACAAATTAAATGAAATGTAAATTCTGATTTGCACTACTAGCCACAATCCGTCTATTTGAAAAAAAACCTAAAAAAATCGGGTACATCGAGGCAATCTATACAGAATGTACATATTTTAACAAAGACTGATAAAAATTCAGTCTAATTTATCAACAACAGGATAATCTTAACTCTTTCTAAAAATAATGATGTGAATTTTTGTATGCATTATTGTAATAAATCAGACATGAATCCGACATTCCCTCATGATCAATAAGGTATATTGGAAACAAAGTAAATAGCATATCTTTTTTGTTATTTATTTTGCATACTTATTTAATTACTTTTAACTATGAAGCAAGAATCACCATCACATATTGAAATGTCTGTACTTCTACCTCAACCTAATGGCCCTATACGTACCATAGATCAAGGTATAGTCAGTTCAGATTGTATAAAAGTGAGTTATATTATTATGTTTATATTTCTTAACAACGTTTATTGTCTGATTATCTAATTCCACAACTATGGATTGCAGTATATCAAGAACGAATAGCCTATTTGTAATTTAAGCGATCACAATGAACTATAATTAGATCTCTAAGTTACATTTAACAATCCATTTCATAAACATGTCTTACAAACATCAAAAGTTTACTAGTCAGTGGTAATGTTCGAGGTTTTGAATTTAACCAACTTTTTTTATATATTGGGCAAATCAATTCAAAAATCATCCTTGACAAAAATACGACAATCAATTGTTGATAGATACTTACCTCACAAGAACGTAGATGTCTCGATTGTTTTTTATAACATTTCATCTGTTATGATAAGTCTAATAATTTCAGTGATTTAAATAGAATCGGTAGCCATAATTATTGATGCACAAGTGGATTACTATATCTTTTTTCTAATAAGCTACATTTTCATTGCCTCAGATCATTTACAACAATTATACACCAGTTCACATTTAAATGCAATTTAAACAAGTCATTTGAAATGAAATCACCACCTTGCAAGTGATATTATATAAATATATTTTTAAAAGATAAAGGGCGACTTTGGAAAAACCAGTAGTTTCAGTTAAATTCAAATATCAAGATTTAAGGTTTTAAAATATTCTTTCTCAAACTGTAGAGAAATTACATGTCAGTATGAACTTTTCATTTTCTTAACAAGCATTCTACTTACCTTCTGTGAAACAGAACACCTAATGTTTACATTTAACTATAGCATATTACACTGAAATAAATCAATCAAGCATCATTCACATGCTTAAAACGTATGAATGAATTCAAATTTACACAAAATTATTTTATCTAACATACAAATAAAACTCAGTTTTGTTAAGATGATTTTCATAAGCCAAAAGTAAACTATTAATTTTATTAATAAATAATATATTTGTAATATCCCAATGAGTAGGAAAATCAGATTTTCTGACGTTTCGTGACTTATTGTAGGCCACTTCTTAAGAGAAATTGGTTATTTATTCTCTCAAGAAGTGGCTTACACTAAATCACGAAACGTCAGAAAATCTGATTTTTCTACTCATTGGGAAATTACAAATATATTATTTATTTTTAACAATCTACCCAATGCTCAATTTATTCGAAATTATTTTATTTTTCTAAATGTCTTTCGTATAAAACATAAGTCTAAAATATTTAAATGTAATTATATATAATTTGTACTATTTAGTTATAAGATTTTTGTACTATCGTAAGAGTCAGTAACCTGTGTATCAAAAGTTGTAAAGTAACTATATAATTGTTTAAATAGTTCATTCGTTATTATTTTGCAGAAAGTGCAGATGATAATCTCATTATTCATTAATAGATGTGAATTTTGAACTGAAAATGACATTAAATTGAAAAATGAATGGGATTTTTCAAAAAAAATCTGTCAAACATTAATATTTTAAAATGCAATAAGAGAACAGAATACAACTATTCTCTAGACATTTTTGTCATCATCTACTGCTTTTCTTTCTCTATCTTACAGATTGTCGAAAGGAAAATATAATTGTAGAAAATTAACCAAGTATTTTATTTCAGACAAATGAACATCTTAATTAATATGAAGTATGCTTGAAAAGAAAAATAAAATACGACAATTATATAAGATTTTCGATTATGCATCAAATAAATGAAATAATGATTGTGCATATTAACGGAAATTAAGAGCATTATCAGTTTAGCTGAGTTCGATACTGTATACCTGTATAGTATCTTTCGTAATTATACTACCGTAATAAAAAGCTTTGGTTGGTGAATAACAACTAACTAATGCAAATGCTTAACTCCGCCTGCATATCTTTCCCTATAGAGACATTTTAAACATTAATTCAGCATTCTAATAGAAAGTTTTTCAACCTTTATCAATGGGTAATCAACCCATATGCAAACACATTAACTATTTGTGAATAATGATTAAATGAGACTTGAAATGCTTGACAGTGATCAAGTTAAAAAGTGTTGCCTATTTACAATGTTTTACATATTAGCAACTTTAGAGTAAAGTAAAGCAAATAGTAAGTCTAGTGTAGTAATTCACAATGACCAATCTATGAAGTTTACTTAAGTAGGGTTAGGGCTTTGATGTTTCATAATTTGGTTGAATTTATGAATATTCTTTGGGGGCTAAATAAGTAGACATCTATGAAATGTGCCAATCATTGGGAGAACGAAACTGCTAAACATCTTTCTGATCTCTGTGGAATTTTCCTTTATGTAGTTATCATGATGGATAGATAACGTCTTAAAACGCTGTTTATAAGCAGACACGTAGGAATAAAAATAAATCTTAATAGCTATTTAGATAACGATAACATTCTATGATTAATGTTTTATTACAGTATGAATGGAGTATTCAATTAATTGTTCTATTTCACGTACATATAGTCAATTATATATTATCTAGATATTAGTTGATACACCCAAAGTGTTGTTAACTGTTTGTTCATAAAAAAAGACCTAATATGTTAAATGGTTTATTGTCTAGAACACTTTTCTCCTACATTGTAGTTTGTTTTCCTATTGTTATTTAGCAAAAACAACTAATTGGTAAATTATTAACTGTCTACCCCGTAGACGAATATTTAACAGAAAATTATATATATATATATATATATATATATATATATATATATATATACGCTTTTACTGTCAACTTACTATTATATACTTTATCCAGTTCGCTGATTATTGATGTACATCAAAACTGTAATCGTGTATAAACAGAGGGTTATTCGTCCTTACCCGTTATCAAACAATCTTTTTTTATCGTAAACTTCCCTTCGGCCCCTAATTGGCTCCGTTAAGGTCTACGGCAAATGTTTTATCACTCGTTTTCTAGCTGAGAATATCTTTGATAGTACAATGTTGTTTAAATAACGTTTCCAGTTACATTGATACGGTAACAAATATTTGTACTCTACGTGATTTAATGAAGATAAGGCTGATTTTAATTGGTTAAGTAAAGTGATATTTTCTTCTGTTAGCTTAGTGATATCCTAATAACCTTAAATCAGTTATTGAAAGTGTCATCCAGCAGAATTCAATGACTTAATGAAGTGAATTGTCTGAGTCAATAAAATGAATACCGATCGGTAGATCTATGCTTCTGAATGCAGGTTTCTAACAAGACACCATTGTGGATTCAAATCTTTGGATGAATCCGTACTAGATACAAGACCACAAGTGACTGGAATAAGACTTCATTTTATCGTAAAATAACAAGCTTATAACATACATATTTACATGAAATTGGTATAATATGATTAAGAGTATATTTGTAAGATTTCTATAAGTAAAAAATCAGATTTCTAAAGAAGCAGCCTATGAAAAGTAGCGAAACGCCAGAAATTCAATTTTCTACCTATCAGGATATTACATATATATCATCAACCTTATTATTAATAATCTACCCAATGCCAAATTTGTTTAAAATAAGCAAGTCAGAGATTGTAATGATATCTAAAGCTTGTCAACAAAAAGGATATGTCATAAACAACCAAAGAATATCAATTTTCAATGAATCTTACTCCAATGAAATGAAATTTTGCCTATCACATCAAAATAGATATATATCTATCTATCCATATATATATATAGTGTACAACGATTACCAGATTTTGCAAGCTCATTGGCTAATCTAAATTATCTTATGTAAAAACTTTCGTCCAAATTTGATCGAATAGTTCCACAGTATTTTGGCGCCGCGTTTATATGAGAGCAAGAATGTATTTGTAAAATCTCAGCGAATCAATTTGAAGTAAATCCAACGTTTCGTCAAGCAATCTAATGCCAGCTATTTCAAGAAATTATAATCAAACAAAATTATCGAATATAAATAGGTACATGGTTCTCTAGTCATCCAATCAAAGTTAATAATCTTTGAAGTACATATTTGCTTTAGTGTGTAAGAGACTTGTGGTATGAATCAAAATGTGTTAAGATAACAGATTGTATGTACACATAAGTGGTGTTATCTTAACACATTTTGATTCATACCACAAGTCTCTTACACACTAAAGCAAATATGTACTTCAAAGATTATTAACTTTGATTGGATGACTAGAGAACCATGTACCTATTTATATTCGATAATTTTGTTTGATTATAATTTCTTGAAATAGCTGGCATTAGATTGCTTGACGAAACGTTGGATTTACTTCAAATTGATTCGCTGAAATTTTACAATTTCAGTCTTCTTCTTAAATATCTAAATTATCTTATTTACAAAATATTTGGCCCATTCATTCAGTTTCATTGAATTGTAAAGTTATTCAAATCTTCTTTATGACCTCAAGATTAATATTAAAGTATGTTACACATAATAAGTATATGTGAATATCATCTTCGCTTTAGGTTTAGTAAAAAAGTCCATTTCTACTTCCATTTTTAGTACGATGATCCTAGTCGAGAATTCGCTGCAAATCAGTTAACCCAATTTCGGGTTCTATTCGTGAGAAATGTACTCTCCATTATTCGTGATTCAGTAAGTTATACAATGTATACCAGTTTATTATAATAATTACGGTGTTATCGAACAATACATAAGAATGCTTTACTAATGAGAGTATGTTTATATATCCCGATTTATCTTCTTTATCATTAAGATCATGGACCAAATTATGTTAGACCACCATTAAAAACCGGGAAGCACTGGACGTTTCGTCCTATTGTGGGACTCCTCAGCAGTGCGCATCCTCGGCTCCGCTCGCGGGATTCGAATCCAGGACCTTTAGTCTCGTGCGCGAAAGCATAAGCTACTGGACCACTAGGCCGGCATCCAATGATGTCAATGTCTAACCTCAACCGATCCACGAAGTTGTTGGTTGTTCAATGATAGTGTGATTATCGACAACAATACCTATATTTCATTCTCGTTTATATTGAACTAATATCTGACAGTGTTTATTCATTATTCATTTTATCAGCTGGTAGATATATCAAGTTCATTTCAACATTCCTACTCAGTATTAATTGGCCATAAGGATAGAAGAACAGAGATTGAGTAATCACTATTCTAAACTACTAATTCCCACTACCTTTTGTTTCCATGATTAACATATTTTGCAGAAAAAACTATTTCTATAACTTACTGTGTATAATTTTATTATTGTTAGGGTCTACATCGTGTATCAAAGAATATGTACATAGAATATGAAACATAGTCACTTGATTGTTTTTAGAAGTGTGATATAAAATATTTCATTAGCTGATAGTAAACTTGCAATCAAAAATTATATACTCTTTCTAATTCCGAAACGTTGATGGCCAAATTCCTTTACTGAAAGGCACCCCTTTTACATTACATTGCATTAAATATTTGTCTTTATACGATTGAAAGTCACTGCGATAATCTCAATATCTTCTTAGTTAGTACTAATAAGCTTTCCGTTTCTACTTTATATTCAAGCTGGTTATCTTTGCTTTACTTTAAATGTATATGTAATCAAGACCATATTAAATCACTACACTTCTGACTGATCCTTTTCTATGTATATCTAGCGACTGCAATGGTAAGGGTAAGGACTACTCATCACTTGATTTTCAACACAGTAAAAATGACAGAGAAGATAATAACTAATAGTTGGATATGTGACTTATCAGTAAGAGCATATGACTTCCAGTTACCTGATTACTATTTTCGACAGCACTCAAGCCATTAATGCTTCAACAGATAGTCATTATTATCAGTCCTCATGAAACACAACATGTCCACATAAAATTTGTCAGAAATTTAGACTTTCTGACGGTAGTATACTATTTATTAATATACTAAAAAATGAAAACCAATCAAAGGAAAATAAAATTACAAGAAATACAAACGCCACGGAGTACTAAGTTCTGAGGAATGATGGACAAAAAAATAATATGTTTATTTCGCTGTGATCTGGGGCATTGAATAAGTGTTCTACAATTTTTCCTGAGCTACACTCTCCATTATTTTGTTTGAGACTGTTTTGTCCAAACACTTAATAACCTATCTCATGACTGTTTAGTAATATGTAGTCAAAAACAGGATCAAGCTTATGAATACTTCGTTTTGAAGCTGTGAAATTACCATCTAAATATTGAATTAGAATTGGGTTGACTGTCAGTCTGATTTCTGTGCGTTCATGATTTATTATGAGACCATCACCATTTGATTGACCTCTCATATTATGATTACCTGTTATTTCCCATTTCCTAACTTTTGTTCAGTTGATAACCGTAAATAATAAAAGACTAGCTTTTATCTATGTTTGCATCGATATTGTAAATAGAACCAAATGACTTCCGCCAAAATACTCTATCTATTTGAAATTTTGGTGAAAAAACATAGAAGATATAAAGGAAATTGCGTATTAGCTTATTGTTTTAAAAACGATATTTTGTATTTAAGGGTTTCGAAGTTATAACTAATTAATACGAATATTACTTAAATTCCAATCGCTGAAATTGTTTTCAAATAACTATTGTATTGTAATGATTATTATTTATTCACATACTCATCATTGATTCTACTCAATCACCATGTACTGTATGTGTGTAACAAACTTGTTCCAGAATTTCGAAGTGAGTTAACAGGAATCAGATTTATTGAATTCTGTGAAATATGCACTTGGAGTAATATAAAATAAGATTTGGAGACGTTGAATTGTTCATGAAAATAGAATACATTCGAGAAGGCAACTAGACACACTGATGATTTTTATGCAAAACCTGGTACAATCGAAAACGTGGGAAGGTTACTGCTAATAAACGTTTGTAAGAAACACTAACTGTTTAAATAGTATGAAATGTCATACCCACAAAGAAAAGATATGAAGTCACTAACTCATCAGGAGATTCTCTTCAAAACGGTACTGATCGTATATGTTCAACTATTAATAAGGTTGCAATTTTCTATCTAGGGAAATAATGGCATAAAGATTTCTTATCCTTAATCCGATTACATAACTTTATTACTTAAGCAAATCAACTAACTAGGAGTTTATAAACTGCTGAAAACAGTTTGGCAACTACGATCAAAGTTAATATTCCACAGTACAAAAGTGTTTTTGATGATAATTCGATAACAATTAATCGTTGGATTTGCGTACAAAGTCTACAGGTTTCTGGTTTGAAAAGTAAACAATTATCTGTATACACTTCAGTTTCTTGATCAGCTTAAAGTAGAATTATTCAATAATGGTAGTTAAATCCATACTAATTATATGGATATCATCGCTATTTTGAACTAATGTAAGTTAGGAATCAATATCTGTTCTAGATGTGGTTAAAACATTTTATTTCGAGAGATTATGACAGTTTCAAAACCGGAGATAGGAAAAGGGACCAATTGTCATAAGTTAATAAATCAGCAAATGGATGTCATAATTTTCTTAGAATGTTACACAAAATGGTTTACAGTCAAAATTATTAACTTTCATAGGATTGTGTATCGAAAGGATCCACTACTTGTCGTGGGCATAAAATATCCGAGTTTCTATAATATGAGGAATATAATATGTACAGTTCACAGTTTTCATTAATCTTTAAAATCTTTACTTAAATGTCTCTGAAATCATCAAAAATAATCGGTTTGACTATTCTATCTGAATTCATATTTCATTTACATGATGCTTAGTGTTATTTCTCAATTTCCTAAATATCTATTTCTAAACCTTATTTCCTTTATTCATAAGATAATGGATGTATTATTTCTGCTTTGAACATATTTAGAACTTTTTAAATAAAAAAGTACTTACATTCTCATTCATTTTTCTATTTACTGACTATTATTTTAATCACATGTTATTGAACAAAAAAGTAATTTCTTAGTTTGTTCTCTAGTTCTCAACCTTTCGTCTATGTTTTCTCCCCTTTATTGATTTCCTCTTTTGATCATTATCATACCTGTATGAGATTGTATTGAATTCATTTCAGATTTCCTTTAACATATTCATTTCTGCACATTATTTTTTCCATTTTCCTTATAAATATTTATTTGCTTAGGTTGAATATTTGTTTGATAAACTCTTGTGTGTGATTTTCATTTAATCAGCTTCATCAAAAACTAAAATACATTGTGATAACTGATGTAAATATTATTTCTTTTCATCGTTTAAAAATTCCACTTTATTTCTGACTAAAATCACAACTAGTTTTTGTTTAAATCAACCAACTGTCTATATCAGCAAATTTTTACTTCTAACAAAAATTTAACTATTCAGCTGATATGACTGCAGTTCATAAGGAATGATTTATCTGAAATGATAATATGAATATTATGGCTAGCTTACAATCTTCCGGATGAAGATTATATAACAATTGAAAACGATATAAATGACCCCTTTAATCAGTGAAATAATGATTCAAAGTAGCGTTTTCCATATTCATGAACAACTAACTGCTGAAAATTTTCTAAATGACGTGCTTTTTACTCGGAGTTGTAATAGAAGTCAACAAAGTGGATATGCTTTCAGAATTTATGGCAAAGGTGTATTTATTCAGGAAATCCTTAAAATATATGAGGACTGGCGTCCGTGTACACCATGTATTTTATTTGCAACCTAAATTTCTAATAGCTTTGAAGAGAGGGTACATGGCTAGCGATGAAATCCAAGATTCACCTTTCGTCCCGTCTAAGATTCATCAGCTGCATGTACCTACATCGAAATTATTAATAACTGGACAATCCAGTCCATTTTAAATTGGATTAAGTTTAATAGTCTTGTTTATACTTGGCTAATAGGTTGATGCAAATAGTTCAAAACTTATGTTGTAAAGCAGAACAAGCTTATTACTGATAATCAAAACTGAAGATCCCTTGTTTGAAGTTAACAATCAATTAAATTCATTCATCAAAATATTAAATTGTTTATAAATCACCAGTAATATATGACTACTAATTATTTTATTCGATTACCATATCTTTTCTTCAATATTTTTTAGACATTAACACATCTGCGTTTTGTTTCACATATTGTTGTTGGAATATTAATCGGTGTTTTATATTTTCGTGTTGGTAATTTGGGTTACGAAGTGATAAGTAATGCAGCATTTGTCTTCTTCACTTTGCTATTCCTTATGTTTGCTTCATTAATGCCAACTGTGATGACATGTAAGTATAAGTGATGATTTCTGATCTCAGGCAATGTTCTCTTATGATAAACTCAAACCAAATATTTATTCGTATACAGGTTCGTGGAGATTATTGAATGCTATCGATTTTACGGCGTGATCTAAGTTATACAATCACTGGAAACCAGGAAGTACTGAACAGTTGTTTCGTCGTATTATGGGACACCTCAATAGTGTGTATCCGCGACACAAGCAGGGATCAAAATCAAAATATTTGATCTCGTTTGTGCGTGCTTAACCTCCAGACTGCCGACCCAATGAATTCCGAGTCATAATTATTTGTAAATTCTTTCCCCAGTGTTATTAAAGCAACTGAACTTCATCGTAACTGTAACTAAACTTTGCCTTATATTCATGTTGCAATATTTTCACTATTTCCGGTATTTGATGTCTGATAAGGACCATTATTTGACTATGAACTCCACCATTTTTAATAAAATGTTTGATATTAACTCTGTTAAGCTTATCAGGAACACATACAAAACAGAACTACTCTCAATTAAATAATATACAATAGAATTTCTCCTATTATAAATCACTTAATGGTAGAGTCTCCAAGCAAATGATCAGCCATGTAAAATTTTGTATACTTGGCGATAATTCGTTTTTTGAGAATAGAAGATAAAAAGTGATTGCCTAAATATTTGCAACATAACTTTAATCGCATAAAACTAGAAAAGTCAAGATAAAGAATTACTAACCTTTCCATTAAAATTTAAATAATATGCTTTATTGTTTTATTAGTACATGAAATGTTTTTACTCATCATACCAGCAAAAAAATTATCAGGAACACATCTTTAACTAGACATAAGTTTATTTACTGAACTTAGAAAATACTAATTGCTCTTAAATTCAAGTAATTCACAAGTAATCATACTTATCTTAAATATCATAGTTTTTTTGATTAACTAGAATAGATTATTCAAATATCCCATCAGAATTGAATACTTTACGAAAGCTGTTCTCCAATAAAATTAGACAGCCTGTACAATTCAGCTTATCGGTTTAAGGAGAATAAAGTTGGAATAATACAGTAAATGATTATTACTTACTTACTTACTTACGCCTGTTACACTCAATGGAGCATAGGCCGCCAACCAGCATTCTCCAACCCACTCTGTCTTGGGCCTTCCTTTCCAGTTCTACCCAATTGCTGTTCATTCTTCTCATGTCCGTCTGCATTTCTCGGCCTAATGTGTTCTTTGGTCTTCCTCTTTTTCTTTGGCCTTGAGGATTTCATGTGAGGGCTTGCCCTGTGACGCAGTTCAGTGCTTTCCTCAATGTGTGTCCTATCCACTTCCAGAGCTTCTTCCTGATTTCTTCCTCTGCTATGATCTGGTTTGTTCTCTCCCGTTGTAGGTTGTTGCTGATAGTGTCTGGCCAGCGGTTAAGAAGCATTTTGCGTAGACAGCTGTTAATAAACACCTCTATCTTCTGAATGATGGCTTTCATAGTTTTCCAGGTTTCCTCCCCATACAGTAGAACTGTTTTGACATTTGTTTTGAAAATTCTGACCTTGGTGTTGGTTAAAAATGATTATTAGAACATTATTAATCTTTAATAAAATTTATCAGAAAATAATTTGAAGATAAATAAGTACATACAAAAAAATATAACTTTAAGCTAACACATACAAATAATTTTGATAAAATCTAAATTAGGCTACAGGAAATTATTTCTTTTTCAATTAGTTTATAATAGTTACAGAATTCACCTTATTATCAATTAATTAGTAGATATTGAATGTACAAAAAATCAATAAAATTTTATTACTATTTAGGTTATTAGGTTAGTTGACTCATTTATCTAGTAAAAACTTATTTCACCAATTAAAAAACAGGATAGTTAAATGAAATATTTTGCACATAACCGAAGACTAATTATTTACTTTCAGTTGATTTGCATTTATGTAACACGATGTAGTAAATACCTAATCGAAATCACATATCTTTAAGTTGTATGTATATCCTATTACATTAAAGAGCTCACAATTGTATTGAATGTAACGTGCGTTGGCAAACCAGTGAAAATCATGGGTCGATCGATGGATATTTATTTTGTCCACATGATAGAATTAAAGATTTTTGCTCTAATCCGTTGTTATGCAAACAAAGAAATATTGAAAATTTTATTTCACGTGGACGATATTTTGATTTAACAAAAATTGGTTGGTAAATGTGTCGATCGACGGTTTGCTTAATACTCAAGACCTACAGCACACTGTTATTAGTGGATAACATTTGTGATAACTGTCACATAATGCAATTTGAATTCCTGATTTCTGAGACCTAGTTCTTGATGAAAGTTTTAATTGAGTCGAAAAACTATAAAAAATAATGCAAATCAATCAAAAGATATAAAATAAAATTGAATTGAACATTAATTAATGTCATTTTGATAAAGGAAGGTTTACATTTTATACATGCCATTAGTTTTTCTAACTTAACTGTTACCCCTAAGACTTGTTGCTTACTGTTTCTAGTTCCACTTGAAATATCAATATTCTTCCGTGAACATCTAAATTCATGGTATAGTTTAAAAGCCTATTACATGGCAAAATCACTAGCTGATGTACCATTCCAGGTGAGTCTTAATTATTTGCCCATTTAAAACTTATGAATTTTTTATAACATTGTTAATATTACTTTGCATGAGTTCAACAGTTAATTTCTAGAAATTAACTTAATATTGTTGGATTTTGTAATTGATTCGTAAAACATCTGATTTAATTCAAGTTCAGCGACTGAATAATCTTGTTAAACGTTTACTCAGTTTCGAATCCTAAGAGAGATTCAGTTAGAAATCAGTATTACCGAGTTGATTAACATAAACCAAAGAAGAAAAATTGAACACTAGTTACTTTCTATTGATCGAATAATAAAAATGGATGGTTTTAGCTGTGTGTGAAAACAGCATGGACTATATACGATTACATTGTTGTCATTGTTCAATTCGCTGCCAGAATAATTTCTGTATCTAAATGAATATGTAAGTTCCTATAATGAGATGACTCAAATCAGTGGTTGAAGGTTAATTTTAATGATGAAAATGTTATATTCATAGATAATTAGATTACTTACTACATACGCGTTCAAAGTAATGGGATTCCATACTGTAAATGATAAGATAATTAAATTTACCATCATGCAATAGTAAACACTGTCTTATTATATTATTTCTTGAAGAGTTAAGTTCGTAATCAAACCACTACCAAGAATCGGGTTCAATTGTCTTATATAATATAATCTCCCACGACATTCAACAAATAAATATATTCTGTAAGCTTTTGTAATACTCATTATAAATAATTCTGATTTCCAAATGATTGGTAGCTGAATAATAACTAATGTTTCTACAGGCCTCTAGTCTGAGTGACATTGCGTGCACTATATTGAGATGTTATTTGTTTGCACGTTGTCAGAGATTTCTAATCACTCAAACTATTGTTCACCGTTCAACCCAATTCTACAGAATCCTATTAGCACCAAGGGATTAGACAGACATAACATTGATCAATACTCAGTGACCAATAAGTTGCCAATATCTCAGTCCTACAGAAGGTCAGTCGTGGCTAGGATGGCTTAGTGATAACGTTTCAGACTATGAGGCTGGTTAACGTTGTTCCAAACACTACAGGGAGCATTAGCTCTCTCAAGATTGTAATAACAAATACTATAAATCATACGACTTTGATCCAAAGTTTCTTGTCAAATGCCTTCAATCACGTGGTCTGATATCGTTTATTGTGAATGTACTAATCTCTCATAACTTTTCTCGTTTACTGATTACTTATGTAAAAAATATCTTACTTAAGTAATTTACTTTTCTATTTTCCTTTATTAGATATTTTTTCCTATTGTTTACGCTAGTATTACATATTGGATGACTGAACAACCAAATGATGCGTTAAGATTTATTCAATTTCTTATCATATCGATTCAAACATCTTTAGTTGGTCAATCATTAGGTCTTGTTATTGGTACAGCTACTTCATTACAGGTTAGCTAAATGATAAGATGTACATACCGTTTTTTTTAAATGCCAACATTTTATTTACATGATTTCCGTACTTTGTAAAGTAAATATTTTACTTTTATTTTGTACTGAGCCAGTCGTACATTTTAATCTGGTTATATTCTACGACAATTAATGCTAATCACAATCTTAGTTAAATCTTTACGTCACTCATTTTAAATAATGCTTTGTAAGCAATAATATAATCCGAATTTCCCAACTGACTTTTTTTATACAACCAGATTCCTTGGTAAATTTAAAAAAACAAGAGCAATAAGGTTTCCAGAATAAAATAAATTCATCAGTCTATTTCACGGTTTCTCATCTCTTGCATACGACCTAGAATCACAATTAATATTAAAATTACTAACAAATGTTTCAACATACATTAGTTTGTGAAGTTTAGATCATTGTTCGAAACGTAACCAAAATCATAATAATCAAAAGAATAGGGATACAAAGTGTATGAATAAACATTATTGAAATTGATGTGTATTTATTTGTTAGAAAGTGATGCAGAGTAAAACAGGAGGTATGGTTACAGGTAATCATAATCAGAGCAACAAAAGTTATGTAAAGGTAATAAAATCAATGTGGTCGAATAATCGCTTAACATGATCGTAGTATAAGATGGAAAAAAATGATAAAATTCTTGATAAAAGTGTGTATGAAAGCAAAATGGACAAAACAGTATTTAAACTTTGATAGCCTTTCTCGTATCACTTAAAAAGTGTCTCGTCAAAAGGTTCTCCAATAGAGTTAGTCTGTTATTCTCAAATGATAGAACTAATTAGGGATTGGCAACTCTAAAAAACCATCTCATAAAATATAAATATCAGAAGTATATAACGAGAAACGGACAAGGATGATAAACATCCAGTTGTTGAAAAGAAGCCTATCTTCATCCGCCTTTCGTTCTAATGAGATAATATCTCATGAGGTATCGATTGGGAAGTCTAGACAGCACTGAAAAAAACTTTTCTGTTGCTCATTTAGTTTCACTATACCACACTAGGTGATCGTTATGCCATTCTAAGATAGATCTATACCCTTACGACGTCGCCTCTAATTGCATCCATGGATTTACATGTACCTGCTCTAGTTAGGTTATAGGAAGAACCTCTACAAGTTTTTCTGAATATGTTCCTTGGAACCTACAGGAGAAAGGAGGCAAAACCTTTAAAAGTGAAATCCCCGGACACTTTTAGGAACGTGAACATAAAGTAGGTATAAGTAATGCATTTAAAATAGTTGGCGAACAAAAAACATCAATCTTACTTCGTTTGGCAGAGGCAATCGCTATCAAACATTTCCGATCTAACCTATGTACACAGAAGGGAATTATGATTAACTTTTCCTTCTAAATGTGAATGTATGCTTGTCTAATAACCTTCGATGATGCTAATCTTTAATTATTTTCAACCCTGTTACCCACTTTTTCTTTCGTCTTCTGATTTCATCTTTTACATAATATGATTGATGTTTACATATTTGTTTATTTTATCATGTTAAGAGATTACGCAATTACCTATTGATTTTTTCTACCTCTACGTAACCTCTATATTATTACTTTCCAGCACATTGATCATAACTGTACTTATTCATACACTTTGTATCTCTAGTATTATGAATTTGTTTATGTTTCCAGCATTCATCTAAACTTCATAGGCAAAAGTATGCTAAACATTTATTCATAATGATATTAATAATTATAATTTTCGGTCATATGTAGCTGATGAGAAATCGTGAAATAGATAGACGAATTCATTTTATTTTGCAAATCTTGTTATTCTTGTTGTGTTTGTATTTTTTTCATTTAATGTGATTCCTTTCATAGAAGGAGAATTAACTGTCAAACAATATGAATTAATACTAAAATCATTACCCTCGAAAGGTTATTCATGTCAAAATGATGTATATTTTACAGGTTAAAAGTTAAATGGCTTCTATATTAATTAGTAGCTAATGTAAAACCGTTTTTTTAAATCATTGAGTTTATTCATATTATTCAATCATATATTTTTTTAATTTTATATATATATGTGCTTACAATTAATTAAAAATTTATATTAACTGATGTTTTTAAATAAAAAATCACAAAAACTCTTAATAGTTTCAATTTCTACGACAGAATCAGTATTAGGAGAATGGTAATGAATAAAACTACTGTAGCGAGCTTGCGTCCAATGTGTTTCACTGATCCCAAGCACCCCCAGGTTATATCTCCTCATTTCTGTAACAATTTGGAAGACTCTCCCAGTCTCTCACATTGTACGAGCATTCTATGTACCTAGATAAATGGTTGCTCTGGTTGTCAGAAAGGGCATCAGCCTCGTAGCTTTCACCATTTGGCGTCATAACTCTTCTAAATGAAGATCTTCTGACTCCCAGGGTGGGGCTTAAATGGTTTAAATTATTCCTTCTGGTTAACGTTTTTTAGCGAGCTAGTTTTCTACGGGGTGGGGTTGCTAACTTCATGCCAAAACCTCCTCCTTCATCCGGGCTTGGAGCCGGCAGTAACTGCAGAGGGTCTCCAGGCGCCATTGGGAGTAACAGGCGTAAGTAAGTACTATAGCCAGTGGTGTCAGAGGGATTATAGTAATATACAACTTTCCTATACAGGACTCCAACTGACTACCTGAAACAAAACGTTTATTTGACTTAAAAAATCAAACTGTATACATACTCATATATATATAACAATTACGTACAAGGACGACTTTTTTCCGTGATTTCGTTGTTATACTCAATAAATTGCCACTTTTTAACAGACATATGATTTATTGTCATGGTGAAAAAAATGTAAATTTACTATCAAACAACTTTGACAATGAATTTATCACTCAATTAACTCCTCTTGTTCTGTTTTACATCCTAATGAGTGTATTCCATTATTATAATGTTTTGTGCATTATGCTATTATTTTGAACTGTATAAAGTACACACGCAATCTATCTAGAATTTTCAAATCAAGTTTTTTAAAAAAAAGAATTCGACTTGACCTACTTTTTGTTGTCCTTAAAAACTATTCTTACTGTAAGAAGATCTATTTACATAACTTATACGAAACGAGTATCCCTACAATGTGGTTAATAGTTGTTATGAGTCTGTGTCACATTTTATTTTCAAAAGCTGACATTCAATAATAAAATTTTAATGTTATTAAGTTAAAAATTTTAATTCAATGCAAATGAATCGCAATTTCAGTTATTAAATTTCTGTAAGACTCAACGAAAAGTGTTAGTTTATACACACATTGAAAATCCTTTGTACATGCAACTATAAACCTAGTTGATTAGATATTTATCATCGTTTATTACTAAGACATTTTCTTAACGATGTCTTTTTCATTGAGCCTTTAGATTTGGAAATTTTAGTAATCATTTTCATTTGTTAGTTACTTCATATATTCGCTTACTTAATAATCATGAAATCAATGCCATTTACATGTGCTGATAACACATAAATAAAACTTATATCACATTGTTTTTTGAGGCGTATCGTACACTTAAGTCCATTACTCATCAATCATCTGCTTTTCAAATTCCGGTCCTAACATAATGTATTATGGAATGAATAAATGCGGATTTTAATGGATATTCTGCAAAAGTTATTAATTATAAAGTATTCATGAGTTTATGACTTTATAATTTAAGAAAAAAGTTTATGAAAACGACTGGTTGCTTGATTCGTTTACTGCCAAAAGATGGTTTCTATTTATTGTTAAGATACAAGATTTCCATGGGTTCGTTTATGAAAAGTGTCGTGTGTGTTCTTAATATCAGGAATTTGACAGTGGGACGAAGATGCTGTCCGTTGCCTACATGAATTCCAATGGTTGTTTAGTTATGATCAGTTCATCATGGAAACTATTTTTAAAGTTTACCTACTAATTGATGATATACGAAAATGTGATTTTGGTTCCAATAAATAATGAGTCCCTGGAAATCTAACTTTGTAAATCACTTCTTATATGTTATGAATTGATTTCATAAAGCGGTTTGATTCATTTATTAAGTATGATCACAGCAGAAACAGTTAAGTTTTTCTTATCAAAAACCAATCCTTCACGAAATCCTACAAACTAACTGAAAATATGGCACTTGTCATTTCCTTACCTCTTAATGATATTCCAGTACCCAATGTTTTTTCCATTTTGGGATCAGTAATGCCGCATGAAAACCATCAAACGATATTTACTTCCTTTCTTACAAGGTATAATTAAAATAATAACTTATTTAACATGGACTTTTTGACAAAGGAAGTCGCGAATCAGGAATCGACTGATACTCAGCTTGGTTTTTTTAGTCAATCTTGATGTATCAGTGCTATTGATAAAAGCAACTGAAATTGTACTTCTTATATGACAAAGAATTAATGTTCTGCAGTGATTTTACACCAGACTTCTTATACACTCTTCATACAACGTCAACTAGAGATATTACGTTGAAGGAGACTATGAAATAATTAGCAATTATTAAAATATGCAATAATCACCTGAATAAACTATTTGTCCTGAATGTCATATTATTTAGGAGCTTGAATTCGAAGTCTGAAAAGAGAAAAAAATAGAGGTGATGAAATACTTAACAATTTCCTTGTGTTGATTATTTTAGTTGCAAAAAAACTTTATACTTTCTGTTATATTCGTTGTCACCAATCTATGTAGGCCTAATCGAAACCCCTTCATTTAAAAATGACACTTGGATCAATAATTAAAAAAAGCCTGAGTATGCGATAGAAACACAATAAAAACGTATTATTTGGGACTCGTCAGTTGGATGTACCTGCATCTCGAAGTTGACGTTCACTCCGATGTTCGATCTCAGTACCGTTCGCTTCAAACGCCATATATTTGTCAATTTAGCTACTGAGTCCTGATAGCTACTTGCTTGTGCAGTGAGGTGAAGTTTAAATCTACTTGGTATTGTTTATTTATATCTTCCCATTGGTGTTTAGGGCTGCAATCGATCAGTTTCTTGTTGGCATATGTACATCCCAGAGTGAACATCAACTCTGAGATTCAGGTACATCTAACTGACGAGTCCCAAACACGTGGCCTGGATTCCACTGCTAGGCACCATCCATCTTTGCCTATAAAGCTTGTGACTTAAGGTAATATCGAAGCAGCCTGTATAGTATGCACCTATGCCAATAAGATACTGATCAGTTGCATTCCTAATCAACAATGGGAAGATACAAGCAAACAATACCAAGTGAGTAACAGTGTACACTGTGATTTTTTTCTTGGAAATTATTTGTTCAAAATATTTTGTTGATTCATGAGTAATTGGATATTGACTCGATGTTTTCAATAAAGCTCTCATACTCCGAATTATTCCAAGAATTTTATGTATGAGACACTGCTTCCTTGTGGTTTGACTGAATCCAAACTGTATGTGATAATTTATTTAAACGGACTACAAGTTTAATATTTTCCAAGATGTCTAAATCTACCTGCAATTTTTTATATATCCTTTTATTACACTCACATACAATGACAATAACATTTGTACACAGTACTGAACAAATTTTCATATTTCAACTGATATACAGTGAAGTATTCATGTTCACTTTCACTGACTATTTGAAATGTTCCTAAAGGTGAGACTATATCAGTGGTTTCACTTACAGCTAATGGTGTTAGGAAGTCATCAAATGGGTGCACGTCCACATCAGTGTTGGTTTATACTTTAATACATGAACTTTCTACCAATTAGTTTAGCACAAAACCTGATCAGATTCTGTTCTGAATATTATTGATAAGGGAATACAAACCTCAGATTTTAAACTGTATAAAGGAACACGTCCAAGATGTTAATCTAAAGTGGAATTCCGAAAACGTTTTGCATCTTGAATGATACATAAATTTAAATGAGAATCTTCATTCATGTTTTCGTGATACTTTGTACAAAAGGGTAATATTTTATATTAAAAAGGTTTGTTTTATATTTAATTACATTACATTCAATTATTTGTACATATGTAACTAATAAGAGTGGTATATTATAACATGTATGACTTTTGTAACTTCGAATATTAGTATAATTAAGATTTAAATTGTATATTATTTTACACAGGTTGCTGTATTTCTAGGACCTGTAACGGGAATTCCTATACTATTATTCTCTGGGTTCTTTCTTAATTTATATGCTATACCGAAGTATTTACAATGGATTTCTTTTTTATCATTTACCCGATATTCATTTTCGGGAGCACTCAAAGTAAGTTATGTACATGTTATCACGTATTTTTTATTGTCAATCCATTCACAGACAATGTCCACGTCTGAACAACTTATCCATTGAGCTATCTTACAGTAGACTGAGTGGATAGTCATATTCCTATTTCCTACCTAGATGAAGAAATAAAATCAGAGGTATTTTTATAGCCAGGTTGACTAATACGTTTCACTCACCACCGTAAGTGAACTTGAGTGCATATCAATTTATGTCTAACAAAACTCCAAGACTTTGGAAGTAACTTTTCAGACTCTCTCGTAACCCTGATAAAGGAAGTATTGCAACAGATGCATTCTTTTAGACCGTCATCATATGACTATATGATACACAAAGACAGTAAGTTGTTAAGCTTGTGGATAGAAAGAAGCGTATAAAATAATAAACGAAGCGCTGACAACTACCAGCCATTTTTTCATGGCTGAAAGAGAAGTATGGTACAATTATTATTCGTTTTCATTTTCTACTTCATCATTTCATACACAATTATATTCACTTGTTCAAACAAACGTAACGATGAAGCAGTTAGATTTAATTTTCTGGTTTATAGAGATTAACAACTCAAGCACCATTCTGTTAAGCTACAAAGCTTCGTTATCAGACTAAGATTTCCATTAGCTTATTCACTACACTTCACTTTCGAAATTTATATTCAAAAGGACAAGAAAACATTAGTAGTTTCGTCACGAGTATTTTAGATTTCATGAATTACTCAGTAAACATTGTAATTAGGATATATACCAGTCAATAAAACCATACAAGTGTTATCGCTTATTATATCAACATTGATTGTTATAAATACACGTTAAGATTGGTTATAATTTTCAACATTTTTAGATTATCTATGGAAATAATCGTACAGAACTTGATTGCGATCGCAAACGAATAAACAAAATGAGCTATCCTTGTCTTGGCAAACCAGCAATGATATTTCAAGCATTAAATATTCCAGATTATAGTGTTTCTGTCGATTTCGGTGTGTTATGCATCTTTTTTCTTTTTTTACGAATACTTGGTTATTATATACTTCGATGGCGTGTACGTCGCCGACGTTGATCATGACAATAACATTTTTATTTATATTCTCCTGCTAATAAAATTATCTGTCTTGAAAATATAATTCATATACTAACAGAATATTGTATGTGATTGATTTTCGTGAAATTTCCGTTCTTCCTTTAACACTTAATTGAGTGTTCATGTGTGTATGTCCAGAACATATGTCATGTATTATGCACTTCCTTTCATGAGAAATTTCATCTTCAGGTTGTGTTTACTTATCTACTCTTATATTTATCTGTTCATACTAGACATTACGAATTTATAGACGATTGGTGAGTTCTAAATAAGAATAGATATGTTTATTGGTTATTGCATTTCAAGTCAATCAATATTTTTTATTGTAATTTACTAATTGGCATTTTATATTTATAATTCGACCCGATCATTGTTTTAAAGAAGGCAATTTACATTTTATGACAAATATTGTATACAATTTCCTTCTTTTTTTAGATTAATGATTTTATTCTTCGATGATTTATATTCCATTATTGAAATTAATTATTTGTCATTTAGAAATACAACTATTTCAATATGAAGTAATTAAGTGCACAATAAAACCTGTACATCCTTCTTTTATTGTTGATTTTATCATTACATGATAAGTATTAATAGTGATAACACCCGAATAGTTACACTGATTTCTTCTTCTGTTCTCTATTTATTAAATATTTTGTCGATTTTAGAAAAAAACAAACTTTATTTCATCATAAGTAGAGTTGAAATATTCAGTTGTATTTATTCATTTGTCACCTTGAATTGGAAGATTATTCTGTGAATAGGTTGACTATCTTTATCTTTTTTTTAATTTTAATTCCGTTAGGAATGGGTTTTTATTTGTCAACCATGTTTCTATTTCCATTCTATTCTTCTCTATATCACCAGTCATTTTCTTTAATATTATATAATTTCCTCATGTATATTTGTACAAGAGTCTAAAATTGATTACCTAAAACGTATTAAATACATATGTTTGCTTTAAGTGATTATTGTATTTTTATACCTACGTCACTTATGTGATAATGGTAATAAGTGTATTTACTATATATTAATGACAAACTGTGGTGTTTAACACATGGTTACTCGTTAGTGCATCAGACAATGAGCTTGCTGTTACTTAGTAAACTCTATTTCACTGAAATTATGTTGGACAGTATACAAAAAACAATGTGAACGCTGCTGAAAAATGAAACTTTTTCAGAAAGCGATAATTGTCCAATCAAAGATGTTGAATTGTCTTACTCGTTGATAAGCTGAACATTACAATATTAGTCACTGTTTATATGCCACTTTAAAATGTAGAACTAAATAAAACAAGGTATTAAATCACTCATATGTAAACGTAAAATGTTTCTGTTAGAGTTTTCTGTTGCTTTCCTGTGTCTGTGTAACAGAGGAAAATTCCGAACATTTTTAGGTAGTAAATTAAAGCCAATTAGTGAAACCATATATCAAATTGATTCTCATCTTTGATTTAGTTATTTTGAAAATTCTGTTGTACTTCAATGTTTAAATTCAAAATCGGATAATTTGACGGTATCTATGAGTACCTACCAACAAATTATTCAGTATATGTTTATACATGTCCAAGAAGACGATTCAGACATTGTTTTCTTGTTTATTTCTAATCATATAATTGTGCTTAAGCTGATGTAATCAAATTATGCTAATTAATAACATATTCTGGACATCTCCAATATGTTCCCTTTTAATAAACAAATTAATAAGTATAATCATGTATAAGAATAATTCAAATTATAAAATGCATTTTATATAATTGGAATTGCGATAAGTGAATAATCACATGAATGGTAGCGTGTATATAAATGTCGACAAGCGATTCAATTTATTGCTCCCATCATATGTTTCATAAAATTAATAATTACAAATATTACAACCATTTTATAATAAACTTTTCTAAAAAAAATCACACCATGAAGTTGTACTATAACAAGAAAGCATGCGAATAATATAAACTGTATAGCTCGATTATTTGCACTATAGAGAGCTTTTTGACCTTTTTGATAAAAACATGTATTTTTTTTCAAAAAAAATGGCAGAGAGGTTTGAATGCCGATTAGTGTGGCATGTGTTGTTTAGCTGTTGAAATATTCACAAACAATTTGCTAAAATTTTCCGATAAACTACTGGATCACTTGCTCCTCTTAAGAAAATATATCGAGGATATTACTAGGAAATTTAATCAACGGATTAAAGACGGTCACCCTTCTTTGTTTGTAAAATGTTAGATAAAACCAATACACACGTTTTTCATTTCACTTGACCGGTAATTCTATGACATTCATACTAACAAATAAACTTTAAAGGATATGTGTAACACCTGTATATTCTACCTTCGTTGCAGAAGATTTATTAGACGGTTAAACCATTCCTCTTTATCTGTTTTGTTTATCTGTTTTTTTCGACTCTTTGAATATTTCTTGATAACCGTTTGCATATTCGGAATGATTACGTGTTTTCATTGGTTATTGATCATTAAATTCATTTTTCCAGGTCTACGCCTAATTGCTGCGTTAAAATAGTAGTTAATGTTACCATGTTGTCATTCTTGTCACTATAACTACACCTGTCACCTTACTATTAATAGTTATTTCTTATTAAATACTATTAATTAATATAGTCTAAGTAACTGTTATCACTGACGCATAAATTAACTTAATCAGTTTGATATTTGTTATTTATTCATACAAATATGATCATATATTAAAGTGAAACTTGGGGAACAAATGAACTATGAAAGTTTTAAGTAGTTTTTATAGGTTGATAGAAAAACTATGCAATGATATGATTCCTTAAACATAATTCACATTCATTAGCAGCATATCTCCAACTATCCTAGTTATTACCTAAATGATATTATATTATTTTCATTTCCTGTTCTATCAAATCATTTTTAATTTATCATAAAAATAAACTTAATCATTTCATGAAAATAATGAAAATGTAATTAGTTCTTGTGATTAATGAAATATATACTCACTAATATATTTAACTGTACAAATGAAATAAATTACTTATGTTTCATTAAACACAATTGTAATTTATATGATTGTTTAATTTTCTTTTCTTTTCTTTTTTGCTTACAGACAAAAATAATTGCCAAAAATCTATTTATTTCGACTGAATCTTTTAATGTTCTTTTTTCTTCGGGAAATTCTATACTTGAGAGAAGAAAAAATAATCAGTAGGAATGATTGATGAAATTGATATATTCAAACCATACTATAATTTAATTTATATCCATGATCTCTAGAATTATTATAACTTGTGACCCGTGTACTCTGATAATGTATAGTGTGATGATACTGCCAATCGGAGAGCAGTGACTTATCGATCGGATCTATGACTCGTAAAACCCATACGAGCAACCTAGAGTCCTGATTGGTCCTGCTTTCCGCCTAACCCAGCCAGTTAAGTCCAGAACACAAATCTCAGCCTCTACAATATGAATCATTTATTTCAAACATACTCGGTTTATATACCAACAAGACAGACCACATTGTACCATAAAATGGAAAATAATATTTGTACAAGATTTGGCCAAATATGGCTGTGAATGTGGGAGGTAGTATTCATTAGACAGGGCATAATTCAAGGATGGTAAATCGTATAATAATAGTTCATAGGTCAAAATAAAGCTCATAATAAGAGAGACATGAATATGAACAGTTAAGTTATTTAACAATTATACGATAAAAATATACGCATAGTATCAGTCTATGAATAAATTCCAAAAGTTACCATTCATTATGCTTGTCGGAACATAACCAGAATCAATATAGAATAGTTAATAATCTCATTTATGAAACATGATTACTTGTTAAACTTCAATGTTAATTTTCTCAATGCCTATTATGACTGGTAAAGAACATTCATATGCTTATTCAGATTGATCTATATTTCGGAAATCAATTATTTGATTTATCAAGAGTTAATCTAAAGCTGACCCAATGAACTTAGTATAATAAAAGTACTTTGAATGTTGTTATCTTATGTCTTATTCACATAAAAAATAATGGTTATTGGGAAGTTAAGTGTTGATCAATAAATTATCAAGTTTTTTTTTTAAGCTAAACAAAGTCTTTCTATAAATTAAAATGTTTAATATATATAAAATATTGACCTATATATCTATTTTGATTGACAAAATTTTAAGATTCGATAAATGACTAGTGTAGATTTACTTGTTTTTCACAAATAAAAACAAACGTACTTTAATTATGCCGAAAATCAACTAGATTTCACACAGTTTTATGGTTTAACCAATGAATGGTTTAGTTTAATATAAAATCTCTTGTGAATTACAATGCGTAATGTTACGTAACCAAACGACAGTTATTAGTCTGAGTGACATAATGATCATGTAATAACTACTATTGATATCTAAATAAAATGATGATTATAATAACTTAAGATTAGGCACTAACTTTCAGAAAGTACTCTGAAAAAAGTGGCTGTTCTGAACCAACTACTTACTCAAAAAGAATCAATGTTATCACGCGAAAGATCGCTTTACATGGTTAAACTGTATTTAAAAGTTGCTTATAAGTTATGACACGTATTATCACTCAATGAAATAAATTACATCTATAGCAGATACCATGATTTTTCTGACACCTGTATATGTTGAAACCTTTTTAGTGGGGCCCTTTATTTTGTCGTCATTTAGATCGCTTGATGTTCGTTGAAAGGCTCTCCACTTTAGTGGCCCAAGATCTGACTCCAAGTAGATCATATGAATGTTTGTTATCGCCTATCCTCGTAATATAATCATTGACTTAAATCGCGTTAGTCAATAACGGAATTAAATACGTCAAATAACGAGAATGGACTTTTGGATACATATATTTTGTATGTGAAGCTAATGGAATAGAGAGAAGCTAAACAACGCGCAGTGGAGATGGCGGGTAAGCCAACTCCCTTTTAACCAAACGTTAATCAATACTTATAGTTACACAAAAATAAGTTACAGACATGTGATGAGCAATGGGATAAGAAGTGTATAGGCGCTCATATAAAAACAGTGAAGATTGATAAGTGAATGATCAACAAGGTTAGAATGTGACTCAAGTAGATGGATAGATTGAGCTGTCCGAAACCTAGAATAAAGTATTTGGGCTTAACATAATAATAAACACTACATCTTCTTGTTTTTAATGTGACTTACTATAGATGATCAATCTCTTGTATTATATGTGCACTCTGAACATATTGGCTTGATAGAGCCATTAATTTTATTAGCATTTTTAAGGACGGTTTTGTTATTAGCTAATATTAAAATAAAGTACTGACACTTCGTCCGTTTCGGGAATCGTCAGCCAAATATATGTACAGCTGAACAACGAGAAAACTTAAATCTTTACAAGTAAAATTGGATTTTATGTTCGTTGCACAAATTGGTTCCTATCTGAACTCCGTAACTAAGTACATACACTCAAAATGTATATGTTTCAACACAACCTGATTAATTAATATCGTTAATAAAAAAACAATTTATACTTACTCACTGTTCCATTATTGTTTTTTTTTAAAACTCCACCCTTTTCTTTTTAGAATTTCATCCTTAACATATAATTACTAATCAAACTTAATTAATATTTTCGATAGGTTGTTCTCTCTTTTTGGTGTTTTGAAATAAATTTCATTGATTATGGTATGTAATAAAACTTTTTTCAAAATAATTTTACTGGTGTAAATTTAGACCAATTCCAGTTAATGAAGAGCCTTGAAATATAATGAATTCATGTTGTTGTTGTTGTTTTTTACAAATCTTATTCTTCTCACTTTATTTAAATATTTAATGTATTTGTTATCTTCTTGCCTTTTTATGCGGGTGTGTGAAAATGTAGGTAAAGAGAATTAAATTTATTTTCAAATTAAAGTTGTCCTATGTAGGTGTGTTTTAAAATACGTGACTTGTGGCAACTATGAGGAAAAATAGGTATGACCTTCATTTCCAGGCATG